ATATCAACCAAAGTAATTCCTTCCTCTGAAAACTATATTGAAAATATTCTTATGACATAACCAAAGTAAAGCGCGCGCTCTTATTGGTCAATTTAGCGTCCCCCATTTGCCCATGGGTGTACGCTGCTGACGTGAGCAAATGCAAAGATTATTTTTCCGCCGCGCGCTTGTTTTTTCTGGTCGCGTAAGATTTGTTAAATAAAAGGGAACTCTTTAGCTACAATGTATCAATGTTATGTTATAAAACAAATGGTAAAAACCACAGCGTACACTATTGAGTAATGGATGCACTTGGGAGGTTTGCTAAACACTCAAGAAGCTTCTTTCGTGCTTAGCAACCTCCCGCGTGCATCCATAACTCAATAGTGTACGCTGTGGTGTTTACCATTTGTTAAATGAAATTATTTCCGTTATACTTGCTTAGCTTCAGCCTGCCGTGATGCAATGACGAATTCCAACGAGCTCTGTTAGGAGAAAATACGTAGCGAAGCTACACCCACCTGATGCAGAATTATCAAAAAATAAGACTGTTAAATATTGCAGGAACATATATACCTAACCCTAAGAAGGTGTGGGAAAAAAGACTCTTTTCCCCGTAACGTTCCTTACGGTCAATTTACGAACCTACCCGAAAGTCATATTTAGCCACTAGCCAAGGGTTTAATGATTCTGAGAAGGATCCAACACGTATTTATGCCTAATAACATAAACTGTATTACTCTTTGGAGGGCATTAAGAAAATAAGAAGGGGAAAAAAATGACAACAAACAGTTGAACAACGACGCAAGCGCAAAGCTGTTGCTAGTAATTATAAATTTATTTGTAAACACAGAGCTCTGTTTGCTTGGTTCAAAACCTCAAGATATGCTCCCCTCTAAAAAAATAAAGCTTCAATAGCCAGTGTTAGTGAGTTCATATTATGAGGCCGACTTAACTAAAAGAACAGAATAATCTCTTAAGAGGCAGATAGTTGGGGTCCAAATAGTTCTGGTTCATTTTCTTGGGTCTTCCATCAAACTTTGGCAGCGAGCTCCTCGTCACCAAGTTTTTCATTCTTCGGTTGGCATGCTTCTTCCTGAAACAGATTTTCTTTAGTTGGTTGGTTGTGAGTCTCTGGTAGAGTGAGGCAAACAACAGCAGCTGCCACGGCCAAACCAGCCATTATTCCAAATGGAAGAAATCGGTGAACGGTTAGCTGTTGAGTATAGGAGGTTGAGTTTTTAGGAAAAGCGATTAACACCTTGCTTTGTTGAATTACACAACACTCTCCTTTCGAGGTGGAGCTTCCTTCTCATTGCTGCTCAATGTACTTACTAAAAATATCAAGAGTTAAAGATATTGTCATGAGGGTCACAGAATGAATACTAAGAAAGAAATTTTTTGAAGTTAAAAATTATTGAGATGGGTGTTAAGGATGGGAAAATTTTAGCTGATACCTAGCTGATGTCTCTGAGCTATTCAGCTTCACTTTTCAGACACACTGCACAATAGTTTAGGCGTTATTTGAGATTCAAGTAGTCACAAGCCAGGGGTGTATATCAAATCTACCTTTAGAGGAGGGAGATAATACTATGTTGGCCACTTACCAAGAGCGGAGCGAGGGCTGACAATAAAGCGCTTACACGTGCAGCAGCTGTTGATGTACCCATGGCAACGTTCCTGTGCCAGAACATAAAGAAACAAGATGATCATGAGACTGTTATGCAAGCATAGCCTCGTTATAGTGTTGCTTAGTTACAGGGCATCGCACGAAAGTAAAAGAGGTCCTTTCCAATAAAGAATGGTCATTTGATGCGCAAATGGCGTTTGCGGACGAAACAGCTAAAAAATCAATCGATCGAACACGCGTCAAGATAAATGATTATATGTATGAAAGGGAAAAGAGAATATGTTTTTCGATGTGGTGACAGAACTTGCCAGATCAGCCTCTTCTAGCACTTCCAAATTACCTCAAAGTTGTAGGAAACATCTCTGCAGTGAAAATGTAAATCAGTGTGAACGCGATGGCAACAGCAAGCCTGGCGACAGCCATGGACATGAAAATTTTACCAATCAGATAACCTGGAAGAAAGAGAAAAAAATCTCTGTACTTGCCACTATAGTCAGTTATGGTATAAATAATCATTAACAGAACAAACTACTGCAGAAACAGCCTAAGACTCTAAGTAGGCTCGTCTTTGGCCGTTTTCCCGCGCCTGGTCTGAGGAAGGGTGCGGCTGTAAGCTCATTTCCTGTACTGTGGTTCGTAATCGAGCCTAAGCTCGCAGAGGTCAAACGTGGGGCATGCGCAGGTGGATCAAGTTTGATTGGCTGCGCGCTAGTTTCACGTGCAAAATTTCGAAGGAACAAAAGAAACAACCGCTGTCGAACAAAATATCTTTAAAAAATTGTAACGTTCTTGGAAATCCGCTTAAGGATAAAAACAAGGAAAAGGAAAAGTTCGGACTTATCTACCACAAAGCTGATTCGTTATGACAACTGATATCCTGCTGATTTAAGATTTGGTTTTGGGCTTTATCCAATGAGATATATGCTTTTAAGGTCGCCTTACTCACTAGCTTGTTAGTGTGACAACTTGGTTCTGACAGCATGAAAGCACGTCTCTTAGCCATTACGATGTTCGCACATGCGCAAACGTTTGACCGCCGTGTTATTATCTTAGCTCTTTGAATATGTTATCTTGTTTTAAAATGGCAAAACGAGGAATTTTCACCCCATGGTTCTTTTGGTGCACATGTCACGTCTAAGGATTAAATACCACATGATGGTCTGGAGGAGATGAAGTGTTTTTGAAAAAAATTTAACTTATCGGTCTGTTAAATAAATAAATAAATAAATAAATAAAGGCTGATAGTTTCGAAAGAAACTGTTTGGGGCTGCGTCGGTGGGAGTAACGAAATAATATGGATATATCAACAAAGTTGAAATGGTAAATTAGCCACCGTAATGATTACAAAAGCTGACGTTTCGAGCGTTAGCCCTTCGTCGGAGCGAATAAATAAATAGGCTGTTAAATAAATAGGCTGTTAAATTTCAATTGAAACACACGCGTGTTGGATTTTGGAAACTTTTGTTTTATCAGTAGTGAAGGCACATTTTACCTTTGTTGTCATCTTTATCTGATAAAAGAAGTGCGCCAATCGCTCCCACAGCCGATAGAATAAAAGATACCACAATGATCTGCTTTCGACGAAATCTGGATATAAAAATGTAATATAAACAATTTTGATAACAAGAGTAAGATAAGAATCCAATTATGGTTAAGTTAAATATGGGTAAGTTACCTTTTACAAAAAAATTTAGGACATTGAAACCCAAACGCAAAGAATTATCGGATATATGGTTGTCCGACAGTCAGTAAATGATGTAAAATTCTCAACAGTTAAATAGTACATATAATTGACCCAAAAATTGATCGAGTAATCGATCTACAGATTCATGCATTGCCTGATTGATTGCTCTTGATGGATTAACTAATTGAATGACTGCCTGGCCAAACAGCTCATGCCATTATGCATGCCTCTAACTGCCTACACTGTACTTGTTTCGGTCCTGTCTGCCGACTGGCCATCTTTCTGACTGTCTCAGCTTGATCATCGCTTGTTGTATAAACATTTCAGTGAAAGGCAGAAAGACGTGATTATTGATTGAATTTACAGAAGTCTAATAAAATAAATTTTAAATATTTATGATCAAATTCCTCCACGGGAAGGAAGAGCCCTCTAAAATGTTCTGCGATCTCAACGTGTCCTTTCGTAGCTCAGTTGACAGTGGTGCTAAAGTAGTATCTGGTAGCCACAGGTTGGAATTCCGTCGAGGCCTGGTTATTTTTTAAGGCATTTCTTTTGCAATCGCTTAAATTGAAGCTCACCTAAGAAGATAATTGCCTTACTCGAACTAACTGCGTGGGTTGAATAACTGATTCTTTGATCCTCGACCGATCCGCCGATCCATCGATTAATTCACACTATTGTTTCATTTTCTTACTTGACTGCCAGAGCAGCAGATAGAGGGGCGGCCAATAAACCAGCAACAGCAGCAATGACTACATTGATGTAGATATTGCCCCCAATAAACGGTGCACTAAAAGCTGTCGCCCAGTAAATAAAAGATACTGCAAACCTAATCAAAAAGAATAATAATAATAAAAAATTACTAGCTTGATGGTACTTTTAACTCATAAATACTGAACTGTAAGTAACAGTATTATAAGAAAATTATATTAAATATCGGTTTTCAAATACAATTTAACACAGAATTCACGAGCCAGGAAATGGCTTCTTCTTGAATCGCAAATTGAATAAAAATAAGAAAAAAAAACAGCAATTATTGTTTGTTTTTATCCTAAGCGCAAAGCAAGCGATCAGAAACAATATCACTTCGTTCGATACCTCCTTTTGAACTCGCAACTCCACGCTAAATACCTCGCTTCGTTAACCAATCAGAATGCGAGATTTTATTCAATTACGCGATTCTAAGTTACATTCAAATATTAATTTACTTTCAGAAAGAAATGGCATTTAGATTATTTTGTAAGGTAAGGATGGGTAGATAAAACAGCAGGTGCATCATGAAAAGTTGCAGGGAGAAGAGTCCAAGCAGCTGTGCCAGACTTGTGGCAACGCAAAGCTTACCAGAATGTTTTTATGTTATTGCCCTTAAAATCATTTTACTGACTTTAGAAGGTAAACAAATGAGAAAGCAAACAAGTGAACAAGCAAACAAATAAAAAGCAAACCTACCACATGAGCCATGAAGCAAGAGTCCTGTGAACCATCCCAACTGACATAAACAAATCACGAAAGTCACCGAGTCTTTCAATCTTCTCGTCATTGGGCAAATGTAATGCCTCTCCTGGCATGCTTTTACCATTCACCCTAGCGACTTTACTCAGTATGTCCCTCGCCTCCGTCACTCGACCTTTTTTGAGGAGCCAACGGATGGACTCCGGAGTAAAACTAATGGACACGGATGTAATGACAAAAAAGATTACTGTATTCGCTCCCATCTCTGGGAAAGAAGGATTGTGAGCTAGTTCAACACAGTAACCGCTTAAAGAGAAATGAATAAATAAATAGATAAATAGGTAAAATAATTGAAAATACAACAAATTCCAGCGAGGTGATTCTAAAGGACTGAAAATATATTTCTGGAGAAATAGCTTTGAGCTCTATTTTGCGGGAAATTCGAGTAATCCTCATATTAATATTGTACCTTTATTAACCTAGAAAAACTCTTACATTTCTTGTAATCTCAAAACAAAGAAGGTTGAATTATCCGACGAGTGCGCTGTGTGGGAATATTTTGACCTTTAGGCTGGGTAATGGATCACCCAAGAATGATCATGTAGCATATATTTTACTGTAGAAACTAAGAAATTACTCACAGCCAACCAACTACAAGTAAACTGCCAGGAGTTCCTGTGATGATAGTCAGAAGCCTCCAATCTCTAATGGCATAAGCACATCCTGCTAAGGCTTGATTTCCCACAGCAATACCAGCCCAAACGAGTGCTCCTGCGGTACTCCTGTGACGAATCCCAGAAAATTCCGTCGCTAACACAAACACTGGGATGCTATAACCACCTGCATGTCAAGATAATACAAACAGAACAGGAGAAAGAAAAACTAAAGCAAAATAAAACTAAGATATCCTAACTTTCGACAGAAATACTAAAACGATATCCTGTGACGACTCGTAGGTAAACATCTGAGTCAGAGGTTGTCGAAACCCTTATTTTCAGGAGGGTGGGGTAAGATACTCAGAAGTGCGTCCGTAAGGAAAGTGGGTATATGTATATTATGTATATTTTGGCAGAAAGAATTACCCTCTCATATTCCTTACATGTCCAAAATGCCACACCCTAAAAAAAACCCTCTTAAGAAGTAAATGTTTCTTACCCAACATGAACCCAACAATGCTGCGGCAAAGTGCAAAAAACCAAAACGTCGGAGCAAATGCGGAAACAAAATTGAACAGCCAGCAGAAAAAGCCACAGATAAAGAGAGGGCGCTTCCTGCCAAACTTGTCTGACAAAGTACCAACTACAATGCTGCCAACAAAGAAACCTGCGAAGATCACAGAGGTTGATACGAATCCCAAGGAGCCGCGGTCACAGACAAGGTTGAACTGTGATATACATATAATAAAAACAATGGCATTAGATATGTGAATTGCCACCTTATCTGATATGATTCCTTTGCCTAAACCACAGAGCTTTACCGGATAGAGAGTAAATTTGGTTTTATCAACTGAGTTGATAATGTGAATTGGCCACCGTAAAAAGTTTAGCTTGTAAACACTTTGCGGTGGCCAATCAAGTTTACATTATCAACTCGGTTGAGCATCACAGTTTCTTTAGAAACTACCCTCTTCATTCATCTATCACCAGGGAGCTTACAACTTTAAAAGGATCTTTACGTAATAAAAGGAGTGACAGGGTATTTTTCAATGTAAAATGTATTGTTATAAGGTTTATGGGAATAAGATGATTCACGATGGAATCTTGAATATATTAAAACGGCTTTAAAAGGAAAATGCCATCACTACTGTCGCTGTTTTTGTTAAAGGTCCATGTACTCCCCAAGATAAATGCTAGGATATCCATCCCAGTCCCCCACCCCTCCACTTCATCCCCCTCCAAACGGTCGTGCACGCTTCAGATTGTTTTTCTCTCTCCTTTTGCCTCATCCTGTAATACAAACCTCAGTAACAACTGATGTGAAGTCGTCTTGGAATTCCCAGTCTTCCCTAGAAATGTTACATCTGTATTTGTATCTCTTATCTCTGATACTAATGCTGTCTGTGAATGGGCAAGTGGAGTTGTTTACGCATTTCCAGCTAGGTTCTGAAGCTATAAACACCATGATCATCACGGGAACAGCCCACCAAAATAAGTAACACAGATTAAAAAACAAGTTGAGCGCAATCTGATAGCGGCCAAAACTCCCAATCCGTTCAAGAAATGCATCTGTCGTCACTGCCATTGCTGCGAAATAAAATGATCAATAGTATGAAGCAATTAAAGTGCTACTGAAAAGTAATTTTCATATCCGAGATTTTTGCAAAATAGTAGTGTTTTGAACGTTATTTGCAAACGCTGTGTTCTTTTTCTGGGCCAACGCATAGCGGAAAGTACATTTTTAATCATTCGAAGTTGACCGGCTGAGATCAAAATTGGCGGCCATCTTGGCGCGGCCAAAACAGCCCTGTGACGTCACTGGTTGTGTACTTCTGTGAAACAAGGGAGCAAAATTCCCGACTGATACCGAGAACAAATCTCTACCAGTCTATTTAGTTAATCGGCAACTGAGATCCATAAGATTAGGATCGAAACCGCGGTCTTGCCTGACCATCTACAGAAAACGTCGAAAGACATTATAACGGCAGATGGGCTACGAAACGCCCCGGGCCAAAGCAATGCTATTCAGAGAATGAAGAAAACATGGAAGCCTCATACGACACCGCCACTGAAGATGATCTACTCGGCAAGTCTGAGGATAACGAACAAATCCCTCTGTACCAAATGCCTAGCAGAACATGCCCAGAATCCCTACAATATAGGGCGAGGGCCAAAATAAGAGCAGACGAGGATTTAAAAGAGGATTTACTTGACAAAACTCTGCCATCTCCTTCGCCCACGAATACAAACAAACAGTGAGTGAAATAAACCACGCTATCGGAGTGAACACAACCAGTGACGTCATCAATCCATTTCGCTCGGTACCAGAGCCCGGACATGGTTTTGTGTAAAATTTTTTATTTGAACGGTTAAAAAAGATATCTTTCGCCTCTTTTTGGTCAAAGCAAATTATCTCATGATGATCACCATATTTAAAACTACAGGCTAGAGCAAAAATTTCAGATACGAAAATTTCGTTTCAGTAGCACTTTAAGATTTTGGCCAGTAAGTTGAATTAGATAGCCGAAAAGGTTCTCTTCTCTCGCGAGTATTCCACAAGAATTGATGTTCGCCTCTTCCTTCCTACCCCACAGACAACGTGGAATCTATTCGACAGAAGACAAGCCCTATATGTGTTTTTTGTTAAATTTATACCGGTCGATAGCCGTTATCTGCACACACAACAAAAACGTGATATCACCAGGTTGTCTCTTCTGAGAATTAAAACCCTGCTGGTGAATTATTCATAATTCCGATGGAACTCATCGTTGACTCCACGTGTTAGCTAAAAGGGAAGTCTGACGCCGTTAGAAGAGCTAAACACATCAAGCCATTCGCGAGACTCTTAAGTTAAAGTATACTTTTCAGTGACATTCCCCGAATGTCACATTCTTGTGACCGCTTAAACTTCGTGCCGTGTCAAACCTCTCGTCACGCGATCAGGCAAGTAGCTCCATGTGTCTCTTTTACAGGAATTGCGTAAATGCTTTAACGTTCAGAACGGATAGCCATAAATTTGTAATAGATCACTGACATTGTTACTACAGGCAGTCCGAGCGTACTATGTGTGATTTTGAGGTTTCCCGTTAAACAGGTATATTACAAAATTTCCTCGGGATGAAATCTGTCCCTTTGTCATTAGCATCAAAATCACTCTCTAGATCACTGAAGTCGATATCCCTGAATATTGCACGATTGTGGGATAAATTTTGGTCAAGTTTCGAGCGTTCGCGTGTGCAGCAAATAAAAATATGATAATGATAGTGATCATATACGCAAGGAATATAATGTGTAAAGCCTCGTTACCCTCGAATTTCTTTGTTCCGAGTGTTATGAACTAATTTTATTTCTCGTGTTTATTATCGTTATTGTTTTTTGTTTTGTTTTTTTTTTTTCGTGTAAAATTATGTTTTGCGACACACGCGAACGTTTAAAATGCAATCTAAATATATCTCAACATAATAGTACAATATTCAGGGAATATCGTACTTAGTCAATTACTTTTTTGTCAAGATCAATTCTAAATATATATATAATTATTATATATATTAAAATATCGGTAAACGAAGGAATAGATTTCCTACCGCGGAAAATTTGGTTCAGTTATCATACTCCAGTTAATACAAATGTTCAGCATATCAGATAACAATAACCTATTAATGACTGTGCTATTACTAATTGATATCAATCATCGAATTACTCACGAAACTGCCCTGCAGTATTTTAAGTTGTAAATATTCTCTCTACATTGTCTTTTCTGAACGTGACTGGATATCTTTGACCAGTCTTCCATTTACATTCTACACAACGGCTTTTCAGATCCCCTGATCTCAGAGAACGGTCGGAAGAGAGTCGAGAAATGACTAAAACGGTCTTGCAAACTCACTAAAGGTGACTTTCATCGCAGAATAAATATGGCTGGACAGTTTCCTCTTACATAAGATAACATCACAATAAAAGGCTACTCTGCTTATATTTCTCGACTTATTTCGTTCAAAGACTCTTCTTTTCGATGAAATCTCTGGTTTATCAGAAGCCTCCTGAAAAGAGTTTCAAAGCTACTCACCAGTTCGTGAATCCAACAGGAAACTATCAAGATATGTAATCCTTGTGACGTATAATCAAAGACCATTATTTAATTACAAGTTTTGAATCCCAAGATCCAATAACCAGCAGTCACTTTACTGACCATGAGATGTCAGTCTTAAGAAGCTATAGTGTTATATACAGAGATACCACTATTAAGTTCGCAAATCTGTCAAATCACCTAAAGAAGAAGTCACGTGTTTATAGCTTCTGGAAGTTAAGATGGGTTAATAAATAAAATGCAAGTGCTAGCAATATTCGTTACTGGGCTTCTGACGCCTGCGGAACAAGACGATCAATATTTAAGCAAATGATGTTTTTTGTTTTCGTGTCTAAATACCCTCATCTACACACGAAGGAGAATTCGAGAAAGTCACGCAAACCTGAGGTGCAGTCGAGAGTCTTCATAACTTTCGGGAATTCTTCCAACCTCCAAAACATTCTTCCAACCTCCAAACATTCTTCGGGCTCAGGGGAGAAGAGATGCAAGATAGTTAAACCCCACATCAAAATTTGGAAAATTTTCTCAATTTCCAATATTTTTATTTAAAAAAAAAATTATTTCGTTTTCGCATTTTATTTTCCATTCCTCATTTCCCATTCACCATTCCCCATTCACCATTCCCCATTCACCATTCCTCATTCACCATTCCCCATTCCATATCATCCATTTCCTATTCCCCGTTCATCCTTTTTCACTTTCCATTCCCCACTCAGCACACCCGATTCTTTATTTTGAAAACACCCACACCCATTCATTTCCTTTATTTTTAATTTGTCCCGTCTATTCCCAGTATTGACCAACATGCAAAGAATATCTCAGAGAAAAAACGCACGACTTGAATAATTCCCAAGATGTCGTCAGGACCAAAGCTTTTTAATTTTCCTCGAGGCCAGTCAGTCGGCTTTCAAAGCTGCTACCCGCATGCAAAATTCCACAAATTTACATTTTTCATTCATAATTACAACGGTTGACTGATCTGAACTGAAGTGATAAGGAAAACAAATGATAACTGAGAAGGCACGCAAAGGTCACAAACAAAGCTAGCTTTTCTCTCGGTGTTTACTTCAATAGCCTAGACGTATTTGTGTAGCCACATACGTAAATCGGCAAAAGCCCAGTGAGAGTGGAAAAGAAGCAGCGTGCACGTTTCCCGCCTAATTTCAGCCAGAAGGAAGGACGACAACAATCGTTGCTCGAAAGGTAAGTCCTTTCTCAGCTGAATTTAACCATCACATCATCAGTGATACCGGCTAAATCATGGTTGGATTATTCGAATTCAGTTGGATGTAATTATATTGATATTATGCCGTTTCTAATAATCGTCAGCGCCTCCATTGAGCCAAACGAACCGACTGAATTAAGGAAGAGTAATTTTTGAATCTACCACAATGTTGTATTCTACATAAAACGCCCATTTTAACTCAATTTACGTTTCTCCAATGTGATGCACACGTAGTGAGCGAGATATTAGCTTTACCAATGGACTTTGTTCGAATTTCATACCACAGGAGTTTTTAATGTCTTCGAAGTTTGTAAAAAAGTTTGACGTTTTCAATGCAGCAAGCAGTAATGGCCCAAGGAAAAGAATAGTTTGCTAAAGATTCTATCGTGCCTTCATAAACATTTCATTGGCGTGTTGATGTTGCATACCGACAAATTTCAAACAAAGGATGAAGTTTTCATCCATTTTAGCCAGTTGGGGAGGGTTCTTTAATGTTTATTTTCTTTAGGATATTGGCGTCGAGTTGGCGTGGTATTTTATCTCCGTGAGGACAGTATTTTAAACCATAACATTAAAGTTATAACTCCACTCGTCGGTTATTAATTTAAAGCAGTCATTATTTGAATGGAGGCCAAGTGTTTGTTAATGTCACGGATGAGTGTATTTCCTTGCACTGGTATGTCACGTCAAGGTTAAGAGAGTATTGAAACATCCAGAGCTGTGGTTAAAATAATCACCAACCATGAAAAACTGTTCAATAAAAACAATTAAAAATCACAACCCTGTTTTGAATGAAACTGCACATGTAGGCTTTAAATCGAGATCGATCTATCACGTATTTTCCACACTCGGAGGCGGCGTGGCCGAGTGGTTAGGGTGCTGGACTTGTAATCCGGTGTCCCGAGTTCACGTCCTCCACCCTGCCACTCACTGGATTTGTTCTCGGTTGCCCCTGGTTCAACTCCTCAGCTGCGCTCTGTAAATAGCCCACTGGTCTGCCTCCTGCCAGTGGGGATTTTTAAGCACTTAGTTAGTCTACATTGTGGCTGAAAAGCCCCTTAGGGGTAGCTTGAATTTACGTATTTATTTATTTATTTATTTATTTATTTATATACTCGTTGTGAGATGTTTCCACTTTTGTGTGGGATCGGAAAATATTGGAACGGTGAACGGAAAATATAGGAACGGGGAACGGAAAACGGGAAACCGGAGTCTGGGACCAAAAGCTCAGCGGTAATCTACACAACAATTGAAAATGGCAGATTAAAACACAATAAACGGGTCTGAGCACTAGTTTTAAGCAAGTCCTCTTCGAACTTGGTCATCGAGACAAACAGTAGGGAAAGTAACTGAAGATTTTCTCAAAGAGGTTTGACTTGATCTGCATGTGACCTTACATACATACAAACATACATACATACATACATACATACATACATACATACATACATACATCCATACATCCATACATCCATACATCCATACATCCATACATCCATACATCCATACATAAAGGTAAAGTCCTAATCAAACGATGGACAGTTCTTGATATTCGAGTCTCGTACTAGTTTCACTAAACCCGCACGGCCGTTTTTTAGCGGGGCGGCCCGCATCAAACATCGATCGTGACTCAGACGGATATTCCAAAATCAGGTTTCCGAGAAAGTACTGGAACTGAATAAAATTTTCCATTCAATGATCAGGGCTACGTAAGGGGAGTGCCCTCATATCCAAATAGTGTAACAGTCTACCAGGAAATTCCTAAATATATCATAGCATAGTTTTTTGAAAGCTGACTGACTGGCTTTAAGGAACATTAGATTTGGTCTTGAAGACATCATTGAGATAAGTTTTTAATGTGGAACACGAAATAGTGTTTCTTGACTGAAAATCGATTTTACGATGCGAATTCAACGTTTAAAACAAAACTCTTAGTAGAGGAATCAATAGAAACTCTCATATCCTCTGCCTCTGTAACGACAACAATTTGCATTTCTATTTATTGTCAAGCAACTGCGAAAAAGTTTTATGTTTTTCCTACTGGTTCTTTTCAATTCACTTCGCGTTTTTGCGCGAGGTTATGTAAGGATTACATAACGCCGGTAGCTCTTTACTTTCTCCAATATCCGCGTTGTTTTCGTTAGATAATTTTCATCGCTTGTTGTTTTCAACAAAGTCAGTCTTTTTGTTAGTTTTTCGCTATCGCCGTGTTGCTTTTATATAAGAGTTTTACTGCCGGACCTGGTTACAACATCCGCCATTGTAAGTTCGTTTCTATTTTTTTCGGTTTTTTGTCGTTGTTTTTGTTATTATATTTTGTACTTATATATTTGTACTAATTATTCATTTAAGTAGAATCACACGCACGTATCTTCAAATCTTTATATCCAAATAGACGTCTGGCAGATAAATTAAAAGTATTTGTCTACAGGCTCTATGTCTTTTAACTGAACACTGCTTTTAATCAAATACAAAATTTCCTTTTATAGATTCTCCTGAGAATTCCAATCTCTCCAATGAAGCTATCCACAGACGAAGTTTTCGAGAGGATTGGAAGCTTTGGTCGCTACCAAATTGTGCTCAACATATTTGTTAATATTGCTTATGCATTATGGTGGGCGTTCCCCGTCATGGCAATGGTATTCATTGCATCGGACCCCGGATGGAAATGCAAAAACAACTCAACCTGCCCTTTCACTGGCACCATCAGTTTGGGAGACGACAGATACAAACATAGATGTGATATTCCCCGGAAAGATTGGGACTTCGCCGACGAATTCACTTCGGTAGTAACGGAGGTAAGTCGTTTTCTCCTGCTATGTAATACTTCTCAATATTTTGTAAATAGAATGAGAAATATGGTAAGTTTTGAGCTCGGTAATGAAATAGAGAAATATGTTCTTCGTCTTGTCCCACACCCGTGACAAGACGAAAAACATCTTTCTCTATATCTCAAATGCAATATGTTTAATAACTTGTAGTGTAACCAAAACCAATGTAATTTTAAAGGATGAAAGTTTCTGAACAAATTGGGGTGCTGCGTCGGTGGGGGTGACAAGGTAATAGGTTATATCAACTAACTTGGTTGAGTAAATTGGCCACCGTAACGAGTTAAAAAGGTGACGTTTCGAGCTTTAGCCCTTCGTCAGAGCGAATGACGAAAGGGCTAACGCTCGAAACGTCAGCTTTTAACTCGTTACGGTGGCCAATTTACGATTTCAACTTAGTTGATATAACCTATTACCAATGCAATTTTACTGGATAGAGCATGCGAAGTTCTCAATTAAGTTTCGAAAACCCCAAATCAAAGTTGCTAAAACGACCAATCAGAACAAAGATTAACATTATCACTGGCCAATGAGGACTCAGATTGAGAATAAAAAAACTGCTTGTAGCGAGGGAAAATATATGAATATAATATATAAATATCGGCAATCGTAATAAAACGGAAATTGCCGTGTTATAATGGTTTAGCCTTGCACTTGACTGAATACGAAGTGAACGTGTTTTTTAGACCAGACACAGAGTTTAGCAACTCAGTATAGTTCGGGTCTGGATGGCCATGTTAAATGCGAAAAAAAAAAACCACAAAAAGACTACGATTACAACATCAACAGCGAATACACGATTACGTCGGAAAACGTGTAGAAATATTGGTACGGTGCGAGGATCGACTCGCCTAAAAAGGAAATGTGTCTTTTCATATAGAAATTTTTACGTTCAACAGCGAGTTCTCTGCGTGTAAGCGATTCTCTTGTTCAATCAATTGAATGAAACTCGAAGGTTTTTTTTTCACCCTTTTATTTTTGTTTGTTTGCTTGTTTCAATTGTTTTCTCCTTTGACAGTTTGATCTTTATTGTGAACGAGGTGCTCTTGGATTTGTATCAACCTCTGTAATCTTTGCTGGGTTTCTAGCTGGTTGCATTGTTGTTAGCCCCATCTCCGACAAGTTTGGCCGGAAGCTCCCTACTTTTGTGTGTGGCTTTTTCTGCGCCGTGTTCAACTTTGTTTCAGCTTTTGCTCCAGCTTTCTGGGTGTTTGCTCTCTTTCGAGGAATCGTCGGTTTCATGATTGGTAAGATATGGACATATTGTGAATGTAATTACTTTGCAAGAAAAATAATCCCCCATCAGTAACGTTTAGCGGTTCTGTATTAGCGGACTAAAATTCGTTGGCTGGCGAAGGAAGACGTTCCACAGTAGAATGTCCCTTAAGCTGACAAAGAGGCTTAAGTTCTAAAAACGAAGGAAAGGGAAGGGGAAAATGGACAAATAGCACGCGAGGGACAATGAGATTGAAGAGAAAGATAAGAGCTTGGATGTGTAAAACATAGGGAGAGGTAGCAGTGAAAATCACACCCCTACCCTCACCCCTCCTAATCTTTTCACCTTCGCTCACCTCCTTGGTACAAAATTCTTTCTCACCCCAGCCTGCTGCAACCATTAGAATCAAACATGACGGCCAAAATTCTCGCTAAGAAAATACTGAGCACTTAATCTTGTCCGCCAAAATTACGCCTGCTCTGAGGGCCGACAATGATAATGAGGTAAACAAAGACAAAAAGATATAAAAAGAGAGGAAAAAATATTAAAAATAAACGACGAGAATGAAATGTCGATATGATGATTGTTATAAAAAGGAGGTTTATGCAAGCAACCTCGTTCCTAGGTCCTTTTCCCTTAGTTGAGGGTGGGGTGGGAAAAGGCCCTGAGAACGAGGTTGTTACGCAAGGTCTCTGTCCTTTAGCACTAATTAAATTAACCGCAATTATTAATTATTATCTTTGCTTTAATGTTTCAAATGTAGGCGCTTACAGTATTCCAATCTTTGTTTTGACATCTGAGTTCTCTGGGGTTCGTCGACGAGGGACTGCAGGGTCGGTTGTTTGGGTTGGGTACGAGTTGTTCGTCATGGTTTTAGCACTAATTGCGTATGGAATAAGAGACTGGAGACAACTGGTTATTGTTACTGGAGTTCCTGGGATCGTCTTTGCCGCTGGATATTTGTAAGATATGATACGTGTATGGTCCTTGTGTTATCATTATTGTTATTGTTATCTTGTTATCGTTTTCGTTTCCATTATTGTTGATTGCAGTACGTCTTATTTGGTTTTTGCTCTACCCGCGCGATACTGGGTAATACTAATACATATCAAGGTCTAGACCATGTGCTTGCGAGTGAATAAAGTTTTGTGCTTCACGGATTACGTTTTCCTTCAGGCTTACCATTATCAACATCAATATCATTATCATTATCGTTATTGTTATCGTTACCATCATCGTTATCGTTTTCTTTGTCTTTGTCTTTGTCATTGTCAGGGTCATTGTTATTGTTATTATCGTAATCTTTATCGTTTTCGTTATCAATATCATTATCATTATCGTTATCGTTATTGTTACCGTTACCATCATCGTTATCGTTTTCTTTGTCTTTGTCTTTGTCATTGTCAGGGTCATTGTTATTGTCATTATCGTAATCTTTATCATTTTCGTTATCATTATCGTTATCGTTATTGTTATCGTTACCGTTACCATCATCGTTATCGTTTTCTTTGTCATTGTCTTTGTCTCTGTCTTTGTCATTGTCAGGGTCATTGTTATTGTCATTATCGTTATCTTTATCGTTTTCGTTATCAATATCGTTATCTTTGTCGTTGGCGCGTGCGTTCTCATTCTCGTTATCGTTGTCGTTGTCATCGTTATTATTATCGTTTTCGCTCTCGTCATTGCTAACTTTGTCAGAGGCTTTTGAGATCTCCTTTCGAATGTCTGCTGAAAACGGTGTAAAACAAAATGAACACCTGGATCGTAACCCTTAAAAACAATGTCCGTTTTCACTAACAGGAGTAAAAGAGCGGAAATGTACCGCTGTTCAAACGTGCATTAGTGAAAGCCGTCTAGATGACATAAAGATTGAATTTTCCATTGAGAGTTGGTCCCCTAAAAAGAACCTCCTCTGCATATCTGTTCATGTTTTTGTTACATTTATATACAGTTTCATTCCTGAGTCGGTTCGCTGGCTCCTGAAGAAGGGAAGATACACTGAGGCAAGGAAAACTTTGTCAAAAGTCGCTCTACTGAATGGCAAAGAGATGCCAGACGAACCAATATATTTACCAAAGGAGGAACGCCTTGGTGACATACGGGATTTGTTTTCCTCCCCCAAAATGGCTCATAAGACACTTGGTTGCTGGTTCATGTGGTAAGTGTTTGTCTGGTACGTAGCATCATTTTAAAAGTGCTTTGCTCCTTATCTCCGTATCTCCGTATCTCCCTAAAACCGCTAAAAAAGGCATTCGTTTTTGTTCCGCGTAGAAAGTAAGGCCGACGAACTGATTCACCACAAATCGTATAATTTGATTGTTATTTATTGACGATATTGCAAATTTTATAAAAGGATTCCCTCTTGAATGTCGGAAACCTTGAAGTAGCGCGCCTTTGTCTCATAGCGTACAAATAACTAGGCCATTTCCGGACTATTTTTCAAAACGAGTTCAGGTACCCAACCGTTCGTTTGAAAATTAGTTTAATTTGCACATGAATGAAAACCAATAATCATAGTAAAGATGGGCACCAGGTCTCCCTTTGAAAGAGAGGCCAAAGGTAATTCGGAAATGGGCTATTTCAAAGCAGATGAATCGAAATTAACCAATAATTAAACAGCTAGGTTCTCTTTCTCTGTGTTCTTATCTACAGGTTTGCAGTGTCCTTTATAACCTGGGGGATAAGCTTTAGTGCTCCCTTTGTAGGCGGTAATATTTACTCTAACGTGGCGATAAGTGCAGCCGCCTCTCTGCCTGCTTACCCTTTCTGTGCTCTTTTGACTGTGTGGTAAGTAAATTTTCCAAGAGAAAGTCCCTATCTGTATTTGGCAGAAGGTGTCTGGGACTGGGTGTCGTCTTAAAGATTAATATTCTTCGTAGAAATCCTTTAGTCTAATTGCAAATCCTGCTTAAACCGAGTTAGTTAAGCAATAAGGTTGGCCGTAGAAAGGCCTTCTTTGTTTGCAAGTTTTTTTGTTATGCTGGTATATTTGTATTTGTATTTGTATTTTTTTTTTTTTGGCTTTGTGTTTGTTTCGTCTTCTTTTGCGGGCCAAATTGCTAAATAAAACGAGCCAATGAAATTGAGAAAAAAAAAATTTACTCGCAGTACCGGTGGACCAACCTGATGTATAGTTATTGATCGATTTTTATTTCAATAGGTTTGGCCGCAGAAAATCCCTGTTTATTTCGTTTCTAGTAGCTTCTGCTGGAGCCATTGGTGCCCTCCTAATGACGGATAAAGCCGAATATGACACAGGTGAGAAGTACAGTGGTCTCGGTTAACGTTGCGTCTATCAAAAGTTATCACGTGAAGCATAAAGGGAAAAAAAAAAAATGTCATTTCGGTTATAAAATAGCTCGGGAATGAAAATGCGAGCCGATAAGTGATAAAAACGGCGAAAGACTTTCCCTTCTCCCACCCTCCTGGGACGGTAAAAGAAAAAAAAACAATACAAGTAGTGTAAGTTGGTAGACGGGGAACAGTCGAGGAACATTTCTGCCAAGAAAACTCTGTTTTATCTTTGAGTCATGTACAAGATTGCCTTTATTAGTGTCCAACGGGGCAACCGTTAGTAATTAGGCGTAAAAATTGACAAATTTTTAACCTTTAGGCTTATCAAAAAGTTAACCGTAGAAAATTTGTGCTTTAATCATAACGGGAAAAAATGACAGTCAACCGCAAGTTGGCCAAACATTTTAATCCTCAGCGGTAAAAGCCATCATCCCATTAATATTGAAACTCCTTTATAGTATATTGCATTGTTTCAGGTTATCTGGCTGGTAAGATTTTTATGTCCATGGTCGTTGCAAAGCTGGCCAGTGTTGTCGCATTCACCTTAGTTTACATTTATGCCGCGGAGCTATTTCCAACGACACTGAGGTAGCTAATTTTTATTACATTTTGCACTATTCGTTTCCAGTCAACAGAGGAGACCCAGGATAAAGTGTTTTTTTTTTTTTTAATATACATTGTGCTTCTTCTCTTGAAACATAGGAACGTTGCCATGGGTACATCAACATCCTGGGCCCGTGTGAGCGGTTTTGCTTCAGCTTATGCCCCTCTTCTGGTGAGTGGTTGAATAGTTTTTTGTTTGTTTGTTTCGCTCGTTTCGAACATCATGATATCCATCCATCCTTCTTCATCGTAAATGTGACGATGAATGCCGCCTGCACTATCTGAGTGCGCAGGCGCTTCACTTAATCGATGGTTAATCCCTCTCTAGAAAATTTGTTGACTGTTCAGTTTAAAGCCATGTAGTGTGATTTTGATTGGTTTTTCGCCATTTCGAACAGAAAAAAAAATACGAAAAAAGTATTAATTAATCGGAGCAATGCAATGACTAATAATTCAATAACAAGGCATATGCACCACTTTTGGTTCGATTTCAAACCTCGCTGATTTCTTTTTCTTTCAGCTGGAAATACACCGTTTTCTGCCATTTGGAATCATGGCTGGTCTTGCTCTAGCTTCTGCCCTAATCTGTCTGACTTTACCCGAGACACTCGACCAACCTATGATGGAAGATTTGTCTCGGGATTCAAACGACCAAGATCACAAACAAGATGAGAACTTCAACGCAAATGGTGTTTCTCCAGAGGAAAACACTTTATTGTGAAGTAGTATTTTTTTACTATCGTTCTGCTTTCAATAGCAGAAATAAAAATACTATAATCTTTTCCTTATTAAGCCAAAAGTACCAGCTACTTCAATAGGTTAGTTGTATATCTTTGCTGTGGTACCGTTGATTTAGCGTGGATAAAATACCGTTCAACGGAACAACTTGATTTTTTATCATCATCATCATCATCGATGTTATTGTTATTTTTATCATAATAATTGTCATTCACAGATTTTCCCTTTCGACCTTTCGGTGTCATTATAAAGTGGCTCTGATCTTGAACTGCGGCGCGAGTTTCCAAGGAGTTGCATACACAAACCTTCAGAAATTACCGTTAGATTTGGTACTGAGAAATTTGGCTTCCGATACTGCTAAATTCGTCTCAGCTTATCAACCTGGCCGCACTCGCGCTCAGCCTAAATGAAGGGAATCACAATGCGCGGTTCACAGCAACGGTCAGTCACTTTCAGTAGCTCCGGCATGTCAAAACAGATCTCTAAGAGATGAAAAGGAGTGAGGTTCTTGCGAGTCAAAGGTAATAGGTCACAAGACAAGACCCAAAACAACCGTGCACGACACGAAGGCAAGTTTCATCAGGTTTGGATGATCGCTCGAAACTGAGAACGCGGTGTTAAAATTGTCTATGCATTTTGTTAATTGCAGAGTAAATCATGGTGTACAGACTATACACAAACACGCTAATCACCACCACAAGAAGCTAGAGTCGCTCTCGGTTATCGCATCGTGCAACTCTTACTCTTCTTTTGTGCTTAGCAGCCCGGCTTCCAAGTGCATCCATCACTCAATCTGTAAGCTGTCGTGTTTACCATTTGTTTTATAACAACATTGATACATTGTAGCGAGAGAGTTCACTTTTATTTAACACTGAAATCTTACGTGACCAGAAAAAACAAGCGCGCAGAAACTAGTCTTTGTATTTTCTCACGTCAGCAACGTACATCCATGAGCAAATGGTAAACAATGAATCGACTAATCAGAGCGCGCGCTTGTTAGAATGAATCATGGAGTACGGAGACAACCATCGTTTTGAACAAAAGAACGATGAAATTTTATTTCATTTAACATCAGTTCCTCCCAGAGTCGGGGCATCACAATTTCACGTTATATTAATTACAAACAAAAGTGATCTTTATATTGTAAACAATAATAATAATAGTGAACCATATAAATTTAAATACTCTCTTATGTAGAAACGTAAGCTTTTATCTTCATTCATTCAATGTTGAACCAAACGCATTTAATTTTCAGTTCCACCATATGAAACACTTTACCTTCTGCAGGTTTCATCATCTCAAGCAAGCATACACTCTTTTTCAATTATTTTGTGTAAAATATATAACCTATTATACAATTTAATGTTCCTTTATCGAAAAAGAATTTTTCATTTGATTATTCAAAATTTACCAATCAACATCAAGCGGAAAATGGCCGTGGCGGATGAAACTTTGGACGCCAGCGCTAACCTAGTATTCTAGCATGCTTTCGTCATTCCACTTCGCAGAAGTTTTACAGAATAACTTAATCAAGGTTTTTCTTTTTTTTTTTAGATTTACAATCTACTGACTTAATCTTGCACACTACATGTACTGCCGGATAAATTGCATTATAACAGTTTGAACTGAATTCCAATTCGGACCAATTCAAAATATCCATCGACGAATCACCTTGTTACCCGACACGTTAGATCATTTCAATATAGTATGTTGTTTCCCTCCTTGCTACTGATTAGCTGCTTGAACGAAAAACTCTCATAAAAAAAAAAAAAAAAATTAGTTCCCAGCACTAGTATCAGTCATCTCAAACTGCAATTTCTTTTTTCCCGCAGAAGAGAAAAAATAGCCAACCTGTTAAACAACACTCGTGCAAAATTTTTTTGCGACACGCTAGTATAGAACTGTATTTTTCATGCTCAAAATCTCTCAGCTGAAATACTTCGGCCAATTATATATCAGAATATAGAACACTGCTTATAGTAACATCAAAACTAACTTGAGATCAAAGAAGAAAGTAATCTGGGCCGGGTTGTTCAAAGGCGGGTTAAGATAACCCAGGGTTACCGGGAAATTTAATTGCAGATCTGAAAGCTTTAAAATAAAATTCACTTTAATTCCATTTGTTTACAATTTGATGATTGAATGCTCTCAGAAGAATTGGGAAAATTATCTTAAAATGGCTTTTGAACAGAGAAATATAGAAACCTGGATTAAAATTTAACCCTGGGTTAGCGCTAATCGATCTTGAACAACTGGGCCCTGGAGTACTCCGTGAGAGGTTACATTACGTCACTCAAAGATACGGAGACTTACTGACTTTGTAATACGCTTGCTGCGATTAAGCGCCAAATTTTCCTTTCGACCTTACTTTCTCTGAAGGAAATAGAAAGGAACTCTAACTCCTTTCCACATTTCCATATCATAACAACACGGCTTCCAAGAAGACACAAAAACACCCTTCTATGTCTTCTGTCACGGGGTGCGTGGCTGAGTAAATACAACTGGTTTAGAACGTTAGTCCAGCTATTTCACTTGAAGACATGGCAGATTGTCTTAATGCATCTTCGCCTTCCTCTCCTGATCGAAATTAAGAAAAGAAAAGAAGTGAGGACCCATCTATTAGTATTCCCACAGCCATACTTTTAGTTCTAGCGAGGAAGCGCGAGAGGAAGCGCGAGGAGCGCGCGAGAGGAGCGCGCGAGAGGAGCGCGCGAGAGGAGCGCGCGAGAGGAGCGCGCGAGAGCGACCCCAAAGCTGACCCTTCTGAACCACGTTTTCTACTTCCGTTTGTAAGAAGATACAATTAACTCAAAGAACATACCCAAGGATGAGAGAGCCTTCCGTGCAGCAAATTTTACAGATTGTACATCACATCTGCTAAGATACAACAGTTGGGGAACAGCATCTCTGGCCTGTAGGATACATGGAATATAAATCATTGTTATATACCTAGACTTTAACTCAACAAAACGAGCACTGTGATCGGTTGATTCTTGGTCACGTGCCCCTGATCAAATTCAAATGTATCCCGACCGGGATACAATTACGTAGTTGTTCCTCGTGCACCGAATAAAACAGCATGTTTTTGCCATATGAATGTTTAAGGGAAAGTCTAAATATATAACAAAGCATTTAATTTATGGTCCCTCGGAACTAGTTCGCTTTGTTTTCTCTCGGGACCCTAAATTAAGTGTATCTTGTAATTAATTTATGATAGAATATGATGATAAGGGCGAAGCAAGTAGTTCACAAACAAATGGTGTGTACCTGAAGCACTGTAAGAGCCACGCATGCTCCTTCCCGCAGTTTCTCCTCAGATTCCTCAAGCGCCTCGATACTTAAACTAATAGCCTAGGAAAAATAATACAATGGGAAGGCTGTCAGAATCCACGTATGTTCGATTTTTGTTTATGAACCATTGTTTGCTGACATAAAGAAACCTGGATTAATTGTCAAATGGGATGTCACTGATACAAAGCTTTCGCGAGGAGTGGCAAAATTAAGGTGTGGATTTGACTCACCTTTCTACGCAGGTCAGCATTCTTTTTCAAATGCGACAAATAAGACTCTGTTGAAAGCAAAAATGATAATCGTTTTCTAAATTGGTTTAACCAACTGCGTATCAGATTAAAATAAACCTTTAAAAATTCCTTTATGAGGATAGATTCCAGTAGAATTTGCCCCGTTCCCAACACAAGGCTCTATACGTTAGACCAAAGCATTGCCCCTCGTATTCTACTTGTGAAACAAATGTCCCCCACCGCACTGCTCTAAACTCTTCACACCCAAACATCCGTATACATATTCTCCATACTGCTTTCCATTCATTTTGTTCGTTATTGACAAGGAGAATTTGTTTAACAATCAAGAGCAGTTTTAGTTGGTGATCATTTCCTTTGTTCTCGTGGCTTTCATGTTTGATTTGGCAGTGGTACTGTATGGTGAAGTGGGATGCAAGTCACTCGTGAGTGTTCGAGAACACAAAGATTTGATCATTTAGAAATCATTTTGATGATATATTGGCGTACCTGCGGCCTGGGCAACTAAAAAATCGTTGTCCAGCAAGAGACAGAGCACAGGACAAAAACAGGTTTTGGACAGTGGTATCTCCGTGTACTGCTTCAGCTATATAAAAAAAATAATAAATATATTAATAAACAGTTATACAAACCTAATGACTAAATCGCCTGACGGTTCAACTTCTTTTTGTTTTTCTCTGTAGCCTAAAACTAAAATGCATCGTATTCAGTTTTCCCTTCGTACGTAACAAATTTTGGCGCTCCGACTACACCAAAAATTTTTACTAAAAACTAATTTCTTCGACTTTTTCCTCAAGAAGCAAGGACCCTATACTTTCAAGAGTTAACAAAAGGGGGCTTCCTTGTGTTTGGGCGGTCATGGGGCCCGTTTCTCGACAGTCCTGGTAACTTAACGGGACTGTAAAGCAGTTCTGTTGTCAGTCAACCTGGGGATTTCAAAAGTTTTGAAAATGATACAATAAAACCATTGGCTAAAGAAACAAAAAGGACTGGTTTGGGTGCCAGAATCTGCTTTCCTATCCTTTAAATTTTGACTTAAAACGGGCCCGTTAAGTTACCGGTACTTTCGAGAAACGGACCTCTGGAGGTAATTGGCCATATTTTTTTCTGGCTTACTTTTGCGAGTGGACGAAAATTCAACTAAAGCATACTCCGCAAAAATTAAATCCCACAAAGTCTTCTCGAAGAATCTCCCTTAAACTTAATTACAAACATAATAAAGTGATATTCACATTCAATCAAAAAAAACAGAATTATCTTTTCAGTTACCTGTGCAACAACAGCATCCTTTTCAGTGGAACGCAGGCGCTTACAGATCACAACTGAAAAGTAGCAACAGATTGCATGTTACTACCATAGAGTACAAATCTGTATGGCACGTGATTTTGAACTGATCACGTGCGGCACTCCTATCGCACGTGTAGAGCACGCACATAAAAATGAACGAAGTTAATTAATCCGTAATTTCCCTTGGGGCTATACGATGACACATAAAAGTAATGACATGGCTTTTAGATGACAACAAAAACAGAAGGTCCACGTACGTTCATAAGCCACCTCGTCGATGTACTTGGACAAGTTAGGCCTGCAAGATATCAAAATTTACCGACGTTTAGAGGAAGGACACAGTACTTGTACCTTCTTTGATTTGTAGCGCACGCTGATTCCTATTGTTCAACCTCAATATCAACGAGCTTCCGATTTCATTAGATTGAAAACTTTTCGGCGAAAAAAAAAGACAGCTTATTGACTCCTCCCTGAAATACACTCTCTCATGGATCCAAAATCATATATTTTTGGTTCAGGATGAAGGGAAATTATTTCAACGATTGCTTGCTTAAACAGCACAAAATCAGAAAGGAAAGAAGCACAAATGTTCATACTTTCAAACGTTTTGTGTTATATACCCGTGTATACCTGGATGACTCGTCACTGGGTAAATAATTCGAGTGAGGACAAATGCTTGGAGCAAGAACTACCTCTTAATTTTGAGCGGCGATTTTCATTGGACTTAAGTACAATAAATTTTGCCGTATTATTTGTTCTAGAACTTTTGCTTGCGGATAGAGGATAAAAAGCAAAATCAGACTAAGCTGTGGTTAAACGCGAGTATTCCGATTCACTATCAAAAGCGAACAAATAGAACTGCGAACAAACTGACCTCCACAAGTCCATGAAGTAATGCTCAAACTGAAACACGCTCACAAGCTCTTCCTCTTCGGGCTGAACATCAGTCAAATCAGGATCTTGATGGATAACACGTGCTACGATAACTGAAAAGACTGCAAGAAAACGCAGAAGAACCAACCGTCTGAATAAAGCCTAAACCCATAGCAAATTACACTGCGATGACAACTATTACGTCGAGAACGCCGTAAGACAAAAGCAAACAAACAAATAGATAGAAACCAAAACAAAACAAAGCAGATTGGTTACTGACTGAGAATATATGAAAATCATATGTGTGAATTGTAGTTTTAGGAAATGAATATGGAAGCAATTCTTGCAGCAATAAACACTACTTAAGTAGAAGTTAAAATAAAGCCTGAAGAAAAATTCAGGCCTGCAGGAGATTTGAACACCGTCCGTGACCTCTACGATACTGAGGCAATGCTCTACCAACTGAGCTAAGAAACAGACAGGTTAAAAAAACGCAAATCTGACCAGCCTCGTGCACGTTCTCCAAATGGGGTCGAATTTGGCCATTCAATGTTGTTGTTTAATATAGGATGGTGAGGACACCCCTTTTGCACGACCATCTTCTCCTTTCACAACATTCGCGTTGGTATCACCTTCGTGCCTTTCGAAACTTTCCACCGACTGGAAGGTGTCAAAGTAGTCTCTTCGTAAGTGATGTTTCTTCTCGAAATGCTACGCAATACGCTCTACCCCTCCATGGCTCCCTCAGTTGACACCATATAACCACTTTACTGTCCTCGTAGCTGGCAATCGCAAAACAGCTCTTACTTTTCTGGCTAAGTCGCGTAATTTCTACTCGTCCAACAACAGCTCGTGTTTTATCGAGGATGCAAAACGCGTGGCACGTTACAAGACGAGAAGACGACTAAAGATACATAGGTTAACAACAGAAGATTTACAAATGGAGAAATAAAACCACATTTTCTAGTTCTACCGGTGTGCTCACCTAAATCTACCACTCTGTTGTAACTCTGAGTTATTTGTTTCTTGTAGGTGTCTTCAAACCCGCTCACAAGCTGACCCGCCGTAGTAAACAAGAGCTTCAAAAGACAAAAAAAGCAATCAATTCAGTCTAATCGATGAATCACGTATTAGTATTAAGCTTTTTCATGGGATTATATACCGGCTTCTTGTAACAGAGAGACCTCTGCTTCTCGAAGGAAAGGCTGACAGGCCAGACGCCTCCACGAAGTGCAAATAAAACGGCTTCCGGTAACACAGCATCACTTGTAACTCAGTGATTGAAAGTTACAAACAATAAGGCACTTACCGAGCCTTGGCACGTTTTCTCCCAAAGAGAGGACAACGCGGGGTTTGTTGCCAAACGTGGGTTGCCTGTAAGAGAAAACATCACTGTAAAGAGAACTTCAAAAGTTAACGCGCGCTTCCGAAGTTACAGACTATAGACCCGGGTTTTGTGGTATAAAAGGACTAAGAGTACCCCTACTCCCTCCTCCCTCCTTACTTCAAAATATACATCTTCACACTGTTATCTATACATTTCCTAAGGACCTGACAAGGAGAACTTGTTCAACAATCAAGATTTTCTTTAGTTACTGATCATTTCCTTTATTCTCGTGACCTTACTGTTTGATTCAGGGCTGATATTGTACGGAGAAATTAGACGCTAATCACTCTTAGGGGTCAAAGCGTTAATCTCCGTAACAATTTCTATGAACCATTCCTACTCATTCATACTCCTGCATGGAAAGAAGCACTGTCAGAAAGTTTCGTGTCAACCCAAGAAAACCTCACAGGTGGCCCGGCTTCTAACCCTGAATGGCTCATTGAGCAGTGCTTTACCTCCCAGAGCACTTTACCTCCCAGAGCTTCTATCGAAGAGAGAGTATAAACGGGTGGTTGCAAATCCTCAGGGGAAGCTGACGAAATGCTGAGGTAACCTTCAATGCCCTGTCATCCATCATCTAGGGGGAGTAATTGTACATACAGTCGCTTCAAGCAACAGAAACCTGGGATAAGCTCGGGATGTTACATGCCACTTGACCTCACATACTTCTAGGCCTGTTTCTATATTTAACTCACTTGTTGACAGAGCCATTTCACTGACTGGGTCGGATGATAAAATGAACGTGAAGAGTCTGTTCAGAACTTCCTTCTGTTGTCGAAGTTTAGAGAGAGCTTGCATTTCCTAGAGCGAGATAAAATAACATTTCGGTGACCAAAAACAATCACACAAACAATAAAAATATACTTTAAAAACCATGACACCAACCTTGTATTTCATGGGCCCAAATGAACCAAGATGCTGGGAAAAAATTTATCAGCGTTAGCACGAAGCAGAAAAGATAACTTAGTTTCAACCCAAAGACTAAAAGTTAAAAGGAACAACAGATGCATTTTAGCGAATCATAATCAAGATGCGGACTTTTCAGCCGATAAAGTTCAAACGTGAACCCCATCCACGCACGCACCCACACACGCACGCCTTCAACCACCAATTAGTTTAATTTCAAACAAAGTTCCCATCCAAAACCCGGCATTTCTTTCGGGGTTCAATTTTTTAGCCTAAAATTCAGTTTGAACTCTTTTAACATCAGTGAGAAAAGGACAAATGCTACGTTTTGGTGTCTATCAGCTTTCTAAGGGTGAGTCATTGTAGAATCTCAATTTGAAACAACTCTTTCTCTTACCACAGAGACTTCTTCACAAAATTGTAAGTGACAAAGGAGGACCTTAAAAGCAAAAGACAAAAATATAAATAATTATGAATCAATTAAAATGAAGAGAAAAATAGGGTGTATATAAGTTATTCAAGGAAGTTCACAGAAAGTGGCCTACTTTAGCTTGCATGAAAACTAACCATGTCAATGTAGCAAGGCAGTTATTCGAAATTACGTAAAACGCATAAATATCTTCTTCCAGCCATGAATATTCCCACTTCCTGACGCTTTCGTTCAATCCACTTCGCATTATGTTACAATATTTGCCTATCAATATCCTTAAGTGTCATTCGAATTTTGTCGATGGTACAAACTGATTACCACAATAGTTTTAATGCATTACGCCGTGGTCTGTACAAGTGAAAAGAAAAAAAAAAGCAAAGAAAAGAAACGTTGTCTATAAACACCGTCACTTGAATTCCTTTCCAGTCTCCTTAACCCTTCCACTCACAGGATTTCATTAGTAATTTTCCTTACTAACCGCCCCCCGGGTAGCTCAATTGGTTAGAGCGCCGGATTGTGTTGTGCGGGAGGTCGAGGGTTCGAGCCCCGGCCGGACCAATACTCGTGGTCTTAAAATAACTGAGGAGAATTTGCTACCTCTCTATAATATCAAAGAAATGGATAAATATTCTAGTCTTCTCGGATAAGGACGAATAAACCGTAGGCCCCGTCTCCTGCAGGGTTAGGGGTAGGAGACGTTAATTTCCCACGCACGAGATTACTGTGTGGTGGATGTCCTCCCCTGGGGTGGGATGGGTGGGTGTGACAGGGCCCCATTTAAACCAGCCTTAGCTGAACTGGGCTAACCTGTATAAATATTCGTAAATCCATACATACATACATACATACATACATTACTGTCTGCCATACAATTCTTATGGTGTTAGTTTGGAGAATTTGTTATTGTATCATGTAATAACCCTCGTATTGTTATTTTTCCTTCTTCTCTTCACTTGTCTGCTTGATGTTTGATTGTTAATTGTGATGAGAAAATTCTCTCTTGGTTACTAATGAGAGTTAGGGGGTTAAATATCCTAGTTCAGTTTCTTGTTGGTTTTCAAATCCATCTATTTGTTTTCCTTTGTTACTGAACTGATGTTTTGTAGTCTTCTTGAAGCGGAAGACTATAAATCTCCAGAAGTGACCCTTCAACTGTGAGTGGCAAAACTACTTCAAACAGTTACCTTGTCCAAAACTTTGCTACCAACTGTAGCTTCGTGGCCATATGAGGAGGACAGATTAGGACTTGTCGCCCGTGATGACCGAGTCCTGAGGCTGCTGTGTTGAGGACTCCCCTCCATCAGTTCCGTTGCTACTTCAAACCGTTTCCTGGGGGAACTGGCGTTGGATGAAACGCCACCCAACTCAGCTTCATCCAAACCCGCCGATTTCTCCACAGGCTGACCAAACGAAGACGGCGACGAAAAGATATCAGAAATACAACTTGGAGAGTCATTCAAAGAGTTCCTATCAGCGTTTTCTTCAACTTCAAGATGTTCGCTTTGTGATCCACTGTCTTCGATTCCATTTATTACTCCGTTGCCATGATTTGTGTCCCCGTAATTTTCAGCAGTTTTCCCAGAAGTCATAAAGTCCACAATGTAACCAGCATCAGACGAACCCTCCCCCACACAGTCTTTGTTATAGTCGTCAGTGCTATTATAACCAGTATCTTGACATCCGCTTCCCCCACTACCGGTACTGCGGGGCGTGCTTTCTCTCTCGTCCGCTGCATCCTGCTCTAAGAAGTCAAAGCTCTCTAGCGCACTTTCCACAGAAAGAGACATGGAAGATCTTAATAAGGAACATTTCTAGGGACAAAATAAACAAAGATTTCTTTAGCACAATTGCTTCAGGTTAGGACTACGTAATCAGTTTCAGGGCTTCTAAGATTTACATCTCTTTCAGAGATCTCCTTGAGAGTTACGAAGGTTTGTTGACCCTCGATACTGAGATGTAATTTCGACAAACGTTCGAGTTATTTATAAACAACTCGTCCAGTTTCGCTGAAATAAGTTTTAAATAAATACTCCCATTATTTACGATTCAGTGATTTCATACCTTGACGAGTTCTTCTAGTTTATCAAGAAGCGTGATCACGCCATCAAGCTCAGGAAATTGATCTATAAAGGAAAAAAAAGGTCATGTAATAAGCTATCTTTGGTTGTGCGATGGGACTTCTACCAAAAAGAGTTGAAAAAGATGAGTTAAGATTTCACTTCATCTCCCGTAGGAAGTTTACAGATGCTGTAACCTTCCATTTCGCCTTCTAGACCCTACTCTCCTAGCATGCGTTTCAACCGTAGACGATGGCATCTTAGTAACATATCTTGGATACCTACATTGTGTCATCAATTGTAGGATCACGGACACTTATCATTCTTTGACAATTCCAATAAATAAAGTACTGGCCATACTGCAATGGAGTCCAGATTGAAGTCCAGATTGAAGTTTCCGTGTTAAGTGTTTACCTCCATCCAAGGGGAAACCTTGGAAATACACGTTGATTGGGCTTTTCTCGGAGAGATAGATCATTTAAACAAAAGTACCAGGGATGCTTTCCTTGTGTTCTTTGAGAGAAGTCTTCCATGATTAGAGGTGAATCAAGAAAGAGGAAATAACAAAAAGTAATTCTACTGAAAAGACGTCGCTTAGAGAGTTTTTCGATTGAGTGTCGAAAAACTAAAACCAAAGCAATTACAACAGTCAATCAAAGCAAGGAAAATCTCAACAAGAGCCAATGAAAACTCGAAGTAAATCAAAGCTAACTGCCCAAAGCGCGGGAAAACGCGGCTGACCAAGTTGTCGTGGTGATTTTAGTTTTGCATCTGATTGGTTGAGAGAGTGGCGTGGGTTTTCTGGACCAATCACAGAGCAAATTAAGACCAATGCATTCCCAGATTCTTTTCGACAGTAAATTGAAAATTGAACTAAGGACAAACCTTTGTTTGTCTGCAAAGTGGGAATAAGATGCTGCAAGGCACTATCCAAGGATGTTGCATGACGGAACTCCTGAGGTTCTTCTGGAACAATTCCATTCAAGTCGTCTTCAGGTAGATTTGCAGCAACCAACTCGGGTGAATCTTTCAAGTCTTCAACAACTACCTCCTATGGTCAAAAATCAGATTGCAATTAGACTATTCAAAATACAAACAGCCTCCTTTCATCAACAGAAAGCAGTCTGCCACTGGCTCACATTCAGCATTCAGTTATTTTCATTAAGACAAACAACCACCTTTCTAAGACGTAACCTTTCAGGCGGTCACGAAGTATTCATCGTAATACACAATATTAATATACGAGGAATCTAGTTATAGTCTCCATATTGTTCTGCGACCTTTTGATTCTTTTCATACATCTTTCTGACAGGAGTAAGAACTTGCTCGTTTGTGATTTCCCTTGCTGCGTATTGACTTTGTATTTTTCAAACTATTTAAGGTCTTTGAGGTGTGTTCCACTTCTGACATCAGAGTTTAGTCATTTTAAGGGAAGATAACGCTTTACAATGAATAAATTACTATCCAGCACATAGGTGTTGGCAAAACGTACCACGCTTTCCACCGGATAAAGCTCTATCCAGCGAACAATGCTCTCTATATAGCCATTGAACAACGGAGACCAGGTCATCAGTGAAATCATTTTCATTGGTAAATCTCTTTCATGTGTGTTTAATAAGGAACTTTGAGAGTATAACTACTTGTTGTATCAAGCACAACACCTACCTCATCTACAAATAAAGGCTTCTCTTCATTTCCTTCAACATTGTATTCCACTTCACTAAAGCTAATTATAAAAGAACGAAAAAGATCGTTGTGGTTGTAATTCGTATATCATCTATATCTGTAGACCATCTTTCTAGGATGCATCATTCTAAAGACATTACTGAAGCCAATTACCCCTCTCCCGACGCAGCCCATCACATAATAATAATAACACCTTTATTTAGACACGATAATGTTTAAAGCTGAACAGCTTGTGGGGTCGTGTGTAAATCTAAATAAACTCTAAATTAAATGAATTCAAATGATGATGATTTTTGAGGAGAGGGGAAAACCGAAGTACCCGGAGAAAAACCTCTCGGAGCAGAGTAGAGAACCAACAAACTCAATCCACTTATGACGCCGGGTCCGGGAATCGAACGCGGGACACGTTGGTGGAAGGCGAGCACTCTGACCCCTACGCCAACCCTGCTCCCCAATGAGTCAACAGAAATATCTCAGTTGATGCTGAATCTCATTAGAGTTGTTACCGTTCATTTTTTTTTTTTTTTTGGTCCTCGCTCACCCCTTGGTTCAAATTTCTTTCTATCCCCATCCTTCCAATGCTGTAAAAATCATATGTGGAAGCTATAATTTTCAAGAAGGAAATACGGTGCAGTCCCTCGCCAAAATCACGCCCCGTTCTGAAGGCTACTATTGATACCATCGAAGCTTGCAATTAAGCAATTAATCGATTGTGCTGATGAAGATGATAGAATGTTTGACAAAAACCATTTAATTGATTTACCCCTTTTGTTTTGTAGGGCTGTACGTTAAATCTGTTGAAGGTGTTGTACACTCTGAAGGCTGAATAAAGATAACTTCTGATAACAGACTGTGTCGCTTGGAACGTAATGTATTCTCCTCTTTCCCAGAAAAAGGTCTGAAATGAACATCCAAAAAAAATTAATAATGTTGACACTGAAATACTTACGAAGAGCAGACAAGTAGGGTATGTCACCAGAGTACATCAAAAGGTTTACACAAACACAGAGACATTAGAGATTGGCTGCCAATAATTATTTGCATACCTCCATTCCACTGTCAATTTGAGTTTCATGGAGCCTGTGCTGTTAAGAGGTACAGACATGATCTAAAATATAAAGATCAGAAAATTTCATTTTCTTAAAATCACATGCTGATCAATCGGGAGAGGGGGAATGAATATATTGAGCCGAAATTATGTGCAAAATTCTATGCCATAAGTTATATTTAGGAGTAATATAACTAATGGCATGGCTTCTGACCATGTGGATAGAGGGATTAATTTTTTTTTTAATCTGCCATCATACTGAAAATGCTCAGAAATCAAATTTTTGACACACCATTTTGCTTCTTCAGCTGCTCAAACCAGCCAATCAGTGCACTTGATTAAGTACTATTGACCCATATGATATATACTGATGCCACATGCAATCAGTGGTCGGCTCTTTTTTTTCTCATGTTTCTTAAAATTCTCCAAAACTTTAATGTTTTTTGCACTCTTTTCAAAACCTTCCTTGTGTATGCTGTTTTACATCTGCAATGCATCTTTCAGCTTTATTACATGGTAGCAAAACTTTTCATAACAAAAACAGTAGCATAGGGAGAGTATAGTAGCTGTTCCATACCTGTGGTCTGGCTTTTATGTAATTTCTTGATCTCAAATGGATATTTCCAATTTGAACATTTGCTTGGATTTTTTTCATTTCAATGACCTGTCAAATATTATGAAAAAAGTCAACTACAGCTGGTAATAAGTTTGATCCATGTTAGTTAACCACAATAGCTATAATCTTGAATTCCCTTACCCTGACAGAAAATTCATCTGTAATTGATGGTCTCAATGTGAACTGTTGCAAGAAAAAAAAAAAACATAGCAATGATAGATCATATACATCTTGTAGTCTGAATATGCCTATAGCTTAGAAAATACATGATTGAAACCTTTGTGCATGTACTTCCTTGTTAGGCACATGTTAATGTAGGTTAAGTCTGTAGTCAAGGTAAGAGGCCTTTAAATCTCACCAGAGCTTATCCCATGCTACTTCCCATAATGATCACAAATAATTATCCTGATGGTAAAACAAACATCACTTTACACATTCTCAATAAACATTTTGCCCACTCAGGCAAAAACACATTCAAAAACTCAATTCCGTTGCCCATCTCGAAGAACTTTGCTGCTTTGCATGCCATTTCCTGCTTTACATGCTTTACTGCAATTGCTATTTCTCCTGATCGTCCGAGTTTGTTGCAATATATTGCGATATATTGTTTCTCCTATGCTAATTAGACATTTTTATTGTACTATTTTTAAACTTCATTTTAAATGTTAAATTCAACTAATTACTGTATGTATGCATTTTTTGAATTCTAATGTATATATTTTTGTTCTGTATTACAGAGGGCCATGTGTTAGAAAACTCTTTAATGGGTTAATCATATATTTACCTTCTTGAAATAAAGAACATTGCATTGCATTGCGTTGCATTGCATTGCGTTGCGTTGCGTTGCATTGCATTGCATTGTATTGTATTGTATTGTATAGGCGCACTTGGTTGATGTGTACCAGATAGTTTCAGGCAACTCAACTTCAGATCAAAAACATACTCAGGTTCTGGTTTCATTATACTAAATTTCAAATACAATACTAAATTCAGTACTAAATTTCAAATACAAAACCTTACCTCATTATCTATCCATTTTTGTCCTTCTCTTTCTACTTTACATCTTGACTTCCATTTAAAATTACTCCCATGTCTAATATGTATCTATAAATGAATAAATTAATCATTCAATATGGCTTCAACCTTTTTATACCCTGGAGTGACTTGAGAAAAACTCCTTACAATAATTATGATTACATGGGAAATGATAAGCAAAATCAGGGGTTATACATAGGATATCACATGGCTGCATCAGTAGAGAGACAAAATATCTCTTCAAGTGTTTAAAAATATTTTACGAGTGAGTGAAGCAAATGAGTGAAATGTTTTTTGACACTGAAATTTTGTATCTCCAAGCAGCCTTGTACTATTCTATTTATTATATAAACACCAATGAAAAACCAAACCATTTCACGTTTGCTGTGCCAGACATGATTCATTATGTAACCATAGTAACAGCTGGGTTTTTTTTATGTGTGAAGAAAATGTTATTCCCATTTCTGTGCCAAAGCACACCTGGAATTTTATAAGCATCCATTAAAGTGTTTAATTCAAGAGTGCTATAAGTTAATATTTTGGTACATACATCATATACATCACCACTGCATAGCCTTCCAAATGCTTGAAGAGCTGGAAGAAAGAAATCAAACACCATAACCCTTTAACTTCCATCAGTGGCCAAGACATCTAATTTCTCCATACCATATCAATACAATATCAAGCAGACAAGGGATGAGAATAAAGAAAAATATCAATTTCGGGATTACCAGTTGATCCAATACCAAATTCTCCGAACTAATATGATAAGAATCAGTGCATGGCAGACAGTAAGGAGAATTCAGACACTGGTCACTGAGTTCTGTTTGTACAAAATGTGTTGACAAAAATGGTAAAGAAAATTTAATGGTAAATTATATCTAATTACAAAATAATAGTTCTTAGAAAGTCATTGCTTACTCACCATTTAAATGAAATCTGAAAACACCAAGTTTAGTTTCAAGTTCCTCTTCAATAGCACACATTTTCTGTAACAGAAAATAATAATGAACTTGCCACATAAGCTCACAAAGTCAAACAAATTATCAAATTCACAGCAATTCAATTTTAAAAACATACTCTATGCAACTATAACCAGTAAACCCTGGTATGGAACTATACAAGTTAATCTAAATTAGACCACACAAAGAACTTGACCCCATTTATATCTAAGGTCTGGTTTTCATTACAGAATCATGCCCATTGAAAAACGTCGCCTGGGAAAAGTGGGGTATCCATGATGCTTTGCAGGCAGAATGAGGTTGCAAAAGCTTACCGCCGGCTTCGGTCTCTTAAGATCTGAATTGACAATTTCCCAAACGGGAGTTGCACAATTTCGCTTTGCGTCTGTTCAGAGACAATGGAGATACAATTGAAGCAATTAGTATTGTTAGAAGGTGATGAAACGAAGTGTTGTTATGGTAAAGCTGAGTTGGAACTGAGCATGTACATACGTGGAGTGGGAATTTACAACATACAATTAAGCTTCTCGAAAAGTAAATAGACTTTTCCGATGTGTTAAGTGAAACTATTACAGCAATAACGGGCTAAAAAGGAATATTAATTTCTGTAATGTTATTTTGCTTTCATGGCAAAATTGATGGTCGAACCTCGTAAATCTGCCGCATTTCCATCTTAACGTATTTATTCGTCTATGAGCCGAACTCAGCTATAAGCCGGGATCCTAAACTTCGGTCTGTTTTAATTGGGTTCTTAAAACATGTGAACTGAAAATACTCGGCTATAAGCCGAGACCATATTCAGAGGATTCCTCTCTCGAAAAAACTGAAATGAACGCAGATGTTTCGAAACAGAAAAGTGTTTCAGTGCAGCATTGCCATCGAAAACAATTCCGAGATAACCAGAGAGTATGTCATCAGTAAGTCTATGGTCCAAGATTTTGGTAAAGTTCTATGAAAAAATCGCTCAGCTTGAATAAATAATTTTACATGTGATCGATTTTTATACAATATTGCCTAATCAAGATTACGGCTATTCTTCTTCAATGAATAGCACTCTGTTTCGGTTGTCTGAGCAAGAAAAAATACTTTCGAACACAGCGTACACGAGGGATTACATGATTGACAGTCAGATTTGACAGGCCTACAGGAAGTTACGCATGCTGTCTTTCTCTTTTCTAGCTTATTTGCATTTTCCCCTGCGACCTTTTTCAATGGGCGCAATTCCGTAATGGAAACTTTGTAAATAGAATGGTACATGTCAGTCAGGGCTCAACACAAATGGTAGCCAACTATCCACAGACTTAGCTAGTAAACAAACTGAAATTGTTGTAACATCTAAGTTGTCACAAGAGTTGGCTACTAAGTTGAAAAGTTAGTGTTGAGCCTGAACAGTGAGCAATTCTTATGTCCAACATACCTCTGTACAAGCATTTATGCTGCCTCTGCACTTGTCCTGACCTCCTTTGGATCCCTGGGATGTCAGGGCATGCAGCAAATTACGCGAACCTGAAAATAAATTTGACATGGACTCAACAAATTGTTCTCAAACTCATCCATTATTCATAGTGTGTTCATTCAACAAAGTATGCCCTAAACAAAAAAGGTGCCATACCTTCTCTCATCTTCTCTTCATAAAGGTAGAGTTGAAAAATCTCATCAATCTAAAAAAAGTACTTCATAATTAATAAATAAAAAATATTCAAATTGCAGTTGTGGAAAATGTTGCCTATCTATCAAGCAAAGTTGCAACAGAAGCAAAGTGCACTCAGTGGCAAGCAAAGAAACAACTCAACAAACAAAAAAAGTTTTACACCTTTGGAAGGCAATTCATAAATTCAGTTTAGGATCGAGTGTAGGAGATGAAAATTTAAACAGAGACATAAAAAACTGCTTTGAAAATGTCATAGTAGGAACAAAAACCTTCAGGTTGAATTGATCTTCAAACTCGTACCCGGCAAATATAATTATTACCTCATAAAAAAAAAAACAAAACAAAAAAAACTAATATCTCTCTAACCTAGAATTACTTCAAACCACCACAACTAACAAATTCATAAGCCTTCTGACCATTCATCAGCTTCAAACTGAATCTTGCCCTTTTAATAAACTCTCAGAAGCAATTGAGCCGTAACTTCTCTCTATAATATCTATACATTATTCAGTAAACAGGGAACGAGAATACTCAAACTCATCAGTTAAAAGTTGTTATCTTGACCTAACACCAAATTATTACAACTGAATCTTGCCCTTTAACTCCCAGAAGCAATTGAGATGTAACTTCTCTCTATAATATCTATACATTATCCAGTAAACAGGGAACGAGAATACTCAAACTCATCGGTTAGAAGTTGTTATTTTGATCTAACACCAAATTATCACAACTAATCTGCAAGGAAATGTGTAGCAGCTAGGGAGTAGAACTTACAATCAGATCCTGGGAGTAAAAGGTAAATGATCAAATAACACACTGACTGCAATTAGTTTGGTGATAAAGAATCATCCATTTCCCTTAAAAACATTTACCTGCTGTATCCTTGACTCTATTAACCTAACATGAAAGGGAAAATAATCCACATTTAATTCTTAAAATTGGAAACAACCTTTAAAAATCAATCTTTTGTAATGATAGCCAATTGTTCAAAACATAATTATATCACTGAATCCTGATCCATGCTAAAAGAATTCCATCAGAGTTCCTAAATTATTAAAATAGTTACTCGATCACTTTCAAAACAGAAATCAGTTTTCTTCTTTCTTTCTTTTCTTTTTTCTCCCTTCCCATTACCCAACAAACATAATAATTCCTTTCAAGTGTGAGAAAATAGCAAGTGTAATCATTTAACAAAATAGTTATGATTCCCATTTCATGTGATGCTTCTAAGCCTTCCTTAAGAGTCTCAATTCTAAAATTCGGGTATATGATGGTGGTTGATAATTTTATGGAAAATGGCTATTTTTATAATAATAATAATAAAGGTCTTTATTAAGAATTATTGTGCAAACAAACGTGCAACATAACATGAATAGAATGAATAAGGAAAAGGAAAAGGTATTAATTACTATTGAAAAGACATCTATTAATAAAAACTGATTTAAAATGGCTTGTCTGAACCTTAGGTAAAATATAATTATGCGACCTTAAGTTCTCAACTGCCGTGTTCTCTGGGGAGGTAAGAAATCACTCAACGCAGTGTTGGTGGAAGAGATCCTTTGCCCTAATTTCTTATCTCTATTATGATGGATATCCAAGATACTGTGCTGCTTTAAGCAGTAATCCAGCTTATAACACCTGGCTAAGAGCTTATCAATTCTACCTAACTAATTATTTACTATAAAATGCGCACCCCCAGACCTCAATAGCATATGTAAAAACTGAAAGAATCAAACTTTGAAGTAAGTCCAAATTCTCAATAGAGTTGCCATAATATTTACATATTCTTAAAATATACAACCTACTGCTAGCCTTACTAAGTAGATAATCAATAGGAGTGTCCCAATTAACTGGCACTTGCTCAAAGGTAACACCCAATAGTTTCAGTTTTTCTTTCGATCCTCCCTATGATCTCGAGTGGTTCAGGAGGCATCTTGGAAGTCTTTCCTCGTAAAAGAAGTTCCTATGTTTTCATCAAGTTGACTTTCATGCAGTTCTTCTCAGACCATTCAATAAAGGATAGGACCTCTGTTTCGGATTCATCTAAGCCTACATTTGCCTCGATTGGTAAACTAATAGTTATATCATCAGCAAATTTTCAAACTTCACAACTTTAAAACAATACATTTACTCACTTAATTCTTTGCTCCACAATTCTTTTTCTCTGAAAAAGAAATACATTTACTGCTATCATTAACAGCATTAGTTTAATTTCAGTTCAAAGTGGGTATAGTTTTCAAAATTGCACATTAATTATTTTCCTTAGCTAGTTTAATATAACTAATGCCACAGACTTAATTATCCCATTCACATCAAAACTTTCAGATGTCTTTTAGCTGTCTTGATAAACACGGTTGAAAATTTTCTTCTTCATACATAGAATATTCAGTTTTGTACTTCTCTGTTTCTGATTTCCATCAGCTAGCTAAATCTGGTTTAACTAGTAAGAGTAAACATTTTGAAGGGTCATTAAGCTACAATTTACTGATCTTAACCATTAGGGGTGACAGTAAGGTGACATACCTTGGGTTCTACACTGTTCAGAGCTTCCTCAAGGTGTCGTGCATATTCACTAAAAGACAAAATTAACATAATCATGAATTTAACATGTATATGAAATACTTTTAATACAGCTTACAATGGGGTATAATCAAATTTCACAATTTATGTTTTTTTTAAAAAAAACAAAATTTAATATGCAGACAAACTGAGGTTGAAATGCAAAGTGTTGTCTGCTTATCCTGCAAACTCAGATGTCGCAAACATTTTTTTATTTCATCTACTAGACATCAGAGTATCACAAAATGTATAACCATCATAAATTTCCTGAACCCTCAAATTGCATCTCTTTTCAGTGTTAAAGAGATTTCAGTATACATACATATCAACCAATCATATTTAGTAAAATCATTCATATTAGGTAACACCTATAAAAAAAGGTCATGAAGAGAGAATATTTTGTTCTGATATTTCAGAAGACCAGGTTGGTTAGTCAATGCCAGTTATCCTAGATGAGTCATAATCACAATTACTAAGTGAGAAGCCAGGGATTTCATTAAAAGCTGGCAACTGGCGAATTCCGGGGCTACTCTCCACAACAGAGCTGGCTACTATGCATGGCCATTTCAACTCCCAGTTTTTGCATGCTTTTTTAGAAAACATTCAATATATTCTAAAGGCAGTCATCAATAAAGGAGTTTTTAGCTGATATTTTGTCTCCCTTTTGGTTGTTGGGTGATTTTTGTAACAAGTTGTAACAATTCAATCAACAACATGATTGGTTCACTGTGCACCATGTTGAACAGACAGAAGAGAAAGACTCAGGTGACAAATCTGCCTCAATTACCTCGGAACTGTCTTCCACCCACTTATTTCCTAACATATGCCTACTTCCAAAATAAATGAAATCCGTGGATTCGACTTATTCACAACTTATTAGCCTTCTGTAAAATTATCTAAAGGGAAGGAAACATTTAGAGGAATACCCCTGTGATCTTGCCTACCCTTGCAAAACCAATTTCCAGCTTTCTGTTAATTTCTGGAGCTTTCTAGAAGTTTCTAGAAGATGACAGCTTTATTCCAGAATCCTATTTTAGCTTTTTTCTAGAAAATATTTCTCTAGTGTTTCCAAGTTCTAAGTTCTTTCAAAACCTGGAAATAGCTGGAATTCAATGAACATATTCGCTGCTCCTAGACATTGACAGCTTTTTCCAATCTGTATTTCTTGCAGGAAACTGGAATAAGCCAGAAATAGTGAACAACTAATTTACATTTAGCAAAACTGAGAGAAATTGTCAGCTTAGTCAGTTTCATTTTAGTTTAAAGTCTCCATCACCTGATCACTCGTGGAAAGCTTTTCCTCGATTTTAAGCTCGTAATGGTTAACAAACGCTTGACTGAACATTATTTCTTTTGAACGATTATCACGAATTCATAACGACGTTATTACGGTTTTGAAAACAGCCAAGTGTTGGATTACTTTGGTATCTTTCAAATTCATCTTTTTTTTTAAAACACTTTTCTAGCGATTCAAATATCGGAACAGCCACCCTCGAATGATTTACGCTATCAAGTACAGCCATCTTTTGATGAAGATAGTGCTTCAGTGTCTCAAAAAAGAGTTAGATCTGGATAAGTGATATCTCGACCATATGGGAAATATGCTGATTGCTCCGATCAGTTGCAGCTTCCAAAGTTTTGCTGAGAACCGCCATGTTACAGCATACGATCGCGTAAAGTAAAAGCTGTTATCACAGTGATCACCTGGTCAGTGGTGAAATTCGATTACATTTGGTAAACAAACATGGCGGATCGGTGGTTGCTTCGGCCGCTTGCCTCACAAAAAATGCGAAGTGTGTCCAGAGCATCCTTTACCTTGTAACGGAGGACTTTGTTACGGATATTTTTTATATGTTTTATATATATTTTTTTATATGATATGTTTTCGACCCAGGCCAGGATGTGATATTTATGACCGACTTTGAAGTGACGGCAGCTTTTTGATATGATCAAAGCAAAAGTTCTGCTAGATTTGAATTTGGAAGCGTCTATTCGTGCTTTGACATTCATTATCTCCACGTGTTTTACCGTGATCGTTCTTGGCGTGCATTTCACTCAAAGTCTGCTCCTGTTCAGCTGAGTTCTGTTTAGTTTTGATTTCTGAAAATGCCCAAGCTGAAGTACGTTGCTGTTGACTGGAGATCGTAGGGAGTGGAGGCGCAGAGTTTCTCGAAGATCATCGTTCGTGATCCCTTCAATGTGAGAGAAGGAGGTGAATGTTCACAGCAAGGAACGGACATGTTCTTGCAGTATTTGGTGAGTTTATAAACCCAGTATTTCTCTCAATTACATCGATTTTCGATATAAAGTGCAACATATGTTTGGTTTCTTTTGAATTCCTTGGTTTGATCTTCACATCAATGCTCGTTAAAGCATAACTCTTAAGAATTTTGACTTCAAACAGGTTTTCGATCCACTTTGTCATCTGACTAATTTGACGGTTCTTTTTATTCTTAGCTTAATACTTTATGTCCATACTCTCTTGTTAGTGATTTTTTTTTTATGACAAAACTATAGTCAGACTTTAGCTGACAAGAAATGTTTCCACATTAGGTGGGCCCTAATAATGGCAGCATAGATCTTATTCAAATTACACCTTTGGAAGAAATGACTATCAAAAAGTGATATTTCACTAAAGAATGTTAAAATGCTCAATATATTTTTAATATCTTTTTTTTTTTCAATCTTGTTATGATTGGAAAATACAGTATACCGTATTACATCACATAACCGAAAGGTACAACAGATAAATCTTTACTTTTACTGGTTTAAATTCTGCAATTAAAACTCAGTTGTTAACATCACTGATTGAAATAAAGTTCCTTCAGCAAGAGTTTCTTAATTGTTTATAATTTTTGTTTTGCACTATACAGTTTCAAATATAACATGCTTTTTACTTAAACTGCTTTCATTTGCTTTTTTCTTTTTTACAGGTATTGTGTTCAGGAAAAGATTCCTTGCAGCTTTAAAGAATAAATGCTGAAAAATCTGGAATATGCTAGAAAAAGCTGGAAATCGATACATTACCTTAATCACTACTTCCTTGAAGGAGCATGCAAGAATTTCCTAGAAAATTCTAGAAATATACATTTTGCAATAAGCTGGAAAAGGCTGGAAAAAGCTGATTTTATGACCTAGTCTGTGATTTGTGGAATAAGCTGGCAAATTCTGGCCAATTTTACCCTAATTAGTAAGTTTCATTAACATTCTAGAATATTCTAGAATTTTCCAGAAAAAAAAACAGGTAAATTCTAGAAATTTCTGGAAATATTTTCTGTCATATTTCTAGAAAATTTCTAGAAATAACCAGAATATTCCAGTCTTATTTTGCAAGGGTAGCATTATAACTGGGTAGGTTTAACCTTTTTTTTAAAGATACATCCATTAAGATCTCCCAAACTTTAGAAATAGTGAACAGTCAATCTATGTTAAAAGTTCACACCCAACCTTTATACCTATAGTTACATTTGTTACTTAATTAAGCAGAACATTTTGCCAATAAGTTAAAGAGTCACCACATCTGCAGAGAACAACTGGAAATTTTTACCACTGACAATAAAAAAAATATATCATCATTAAATGAACTCAAAATGAACTCTCTCTAAATTGATCTCACCTGAGGGCTGACTGAAGTTTAGTAAACACACTCGTTGTCTGGGAAATCCTTGGACACTTCAAAGCTGGCTTAGGCCCAAAAATTCCGGAAGACTTGCGGCGAATCTGAGAATGTTTCCTCTCCAATTCTGCTGGACTTTGAAGTGGTGTAAGAGGCTTGACACGAGAGATTGCTGAGGCGCTAAAGGATTGAGACCTTGCAGCTGCACTTTCAAATGGGTGCCGCTCCATTCTAAGTGACTGTGAATTTCTGTTTGGCGTGGATTTGCTACTGGCACTGTTTTCTTTTCCCTTCAAGGAAAGAATTTCGGAAATTAAACTTCAAAAAACAAATTTGAATTCAAACTCTCTTACAAAATATAGTTTACAACTGCATGCAGTAACAGGGTTTTTAATTGAAAAATGCTATGACTAGAAAATTAATAGTGTCAAATAAGCAACAGGCTACAGAATATTCTCAAAATCTGCACAAAAGATCGCTCAGACAATCAAAACTCATGCAGATCACTCTGCACAGCTAGCCAGTCAATTCGTCCATTGAAGCCTGATAACACCCTGCAGTGCTTTTTAGAAAAAACTTGTATAGCCTTTCAAACATCTCTTCTCTTCAACACATGATATATTTTTAACAGATTTATAATGTAAGTTGGCCACCACAGAGTTTGTAAATTGCTGAAGTTTTGAGAATTTAGCCCTTCAACAAATACACTGCTAATTCTGTGGTAAATCATAAAATGTGATCCACATCTACCAGTGACAATACAAACACTTTTGTTGAGACACTGGGTTTAAAGAAAAAGGAACACATTAATCAATTTCACAAGGGAAAAAATTCAAATTTCAGGAATGTTATAAACAACAAGATGGACAATAGGAGAGATATTTCTTAATAATGCACAATCCAGTATTCCAATATTACTATCCAGTGATCAAAATAACAAAGGAGAAGTCTAAAATTAGATAAGTCTACAAACAGATACACTTTAGGTGAGAGTACACACTAAAAGCATTCTCAACCCAAGTAACAACAAAAAATCCTTATCGACAATAACTGACGGAATAACAGTATTTATCCAAACCTTGAAAAAATTTCAAACTGAGTTGGATACTGGTCACCTAAGTTCAGTTCTAGAAAACATCAGTTTCAGTTAACTAAAACTCGATAAATCTACGAATGAAAACACCAGTGAGTTACTTACAAAGCACATGTCTTCAATGAGTCATAAAACATGAAAATGTTTACACCAGTAGTGATGATAAATAATGTGCCAAGGTTAACAATAAATCTAACACCTCTTTTCTAGAGCACTGCCCACTCTCAAATGAGTACACCAACACTTGGTTCATCCAATATTGTCCAATAGTAGTGTGTGGAGATATAAATATAATACAGTGCAGTATTCTCAAGAATGTAAGCAAAATTATCAATTGAATCTTTAAATGTGAAGCAATAAATTGTATGTTGGAGGTTTGAAAGTGTTGAAGCAAATTTGACTCCAGGAGAATAATTTGCACAATCAAATGCATATAAAAGAATCATCTAATAGCTTAATTCCTCAATAACACCTTGAATGTACATAATTACTTGTCTTTATTGCTTTGTGAAACATCTTTCTTCTTAATTCTGATCAAAACAGACTAAAGAATAATGATGCACATTCTCAGCTCAATAAATGAAGACTTCACGCTGCGAAATTACATTTCGATGTAGAAGAGCACAAATATTTTGGAGCATTTCATATTTGTGATAAAAAAAACAATGATTGCACAATAAAAAGTCTCGTATTTCTGTTCTAAATACTTTACGACTGGAAAATGTAACATGAAACATGTTTTACTACAGATTACAACAACAATCCCATTACCATACAACATGGTAAAATGTTCTTGAATGTAACTAACAAAGACAGAATCTAAAGGGAACCTTTTTCGCATTACATATGATGGAAATTCAAGCTGCCCGCATTCTGAGTGGAAAAAGCTCTCATTACCAGGGCGAGGAATAAATTATTTTCATTATCATTTCATTCATTTACCATTTTAATTCCATATAAATGACGGATTGGTGTGAAAAACGAACAGCTTTAGAGTAAATAAACTCATTGCTAACCAAAAGAGACGAAAAATTAAAGTGTTTTTACGATTCTGTGCGGTCCATTTCGAGCGTTAAAAATAAATTATATCAAATTTCATTCTCCACCGTTAAAATTAAAAACAAGAACAAATCCCAAAGTCTTTCGGAGAATAAAAATGGAAATCTAAACTCTGACAAGAAAACATTCCTTACTGATAATATAGCCTTAAAATGTCGAACAAGCTCAAGAAAATTCAAACTAGTCGAGATGTCATTGCTGTTAGAAACTCTCTCTGGTGTACGCACAATATAAGCCACGAATTAGCGGCTCATCTATCTGTTCTACTGGTAGAATACTCACCATTTGGCCAGTTATAAGAAGCTTCTTTCATCGGTACAGTTTCCTCCTCGTCATCAGAGCCAAACGGTAAAGACTCTCCGGAAATGCGACCCCACTCACCTTGCTAAAACCTTCACTATTTACCTCTGCGGCTTCAAGATGGCGGAACGTCACGTGGTTACCTTCATTCATATAAGGAATGATGGTTAAAATATCCAATCAACATTCTCGCAAACAAAACATTTCCTGAGTAATTAAATTAACATAAATAAACATCCCGTACCGGCCGGAAGTCACGCAGAAGTCATCAAAGATATGTTTTTAAATCTTCCACAAAAACTCCTTTTTTTAACAACCGCATCAACAGTAGGTTATTGGGAAATACCGTGCCGAAAAAGGCAGGCTATTTTGAGAACTTTGAGCTTTGGCGACTGAGAAATTCCCATAAATCTTTATATGACAAAAAATAGAGGCCATCTTTTTTTCTCGAAGCCCAATAGTTTGGCATCCAGCTGACGCTATTCAACGTATGATACACGAATTATACGCACGTCGACGGTCTTTATGGAATTCACCGTGTATAATTAACAATTACTCCACGAGCGCGTGTTGGATATGAGATGATGGATAGCCAACGAGGCGCGTAGCGCCGAGTTGGCTATAATCATCTCATATGCAACAAGCGAGAGTGGAATAATTGTTTTATTWAAAAAATGCCCCCAAGATATTAGACAAATCTTCTCGTCTTTATTTTGTGAGAAGAAACCGGATTTAACAATGTACAGAAATTAGCTTATGGTATATTGGCTCATATACCATAATGACTGAGCCAATAAAAAGTCTTGAATTGCATTATCCAATGGTCCAGTTTTTAATAAATTAAGTTATCAATCTATCTATCGACATATCTATATTTCTTTATCTATCTATCTTGAATTCTATGTATCTATCATCATTAACCCCCCTCTCACTGGAACGTGACTGAGTGCTGACAGGGCTTCAAAAGCGTGTCATGCAGGAAGTAAACTATATGCCCGACAATGTGTCACAGGACGTGATCTATTAAAATTTGGCAAGATTGTTATGGCGACAAAGCGATTGTGCGGCGACTGCGGTTAGCCTAGTTTTCTGTTCATCATCAATACCTAATTCGGTCTGTGAGCAATTCAACCACAGGAAAGACAACAAGGAAAAGTAAAAAGGACAAATAAAAAAGAGAAACAAAAAGAAATGTTATGGATAGAAGAGAAAAGGAAAGGAATTACAGAAATAAAATAGGAGGGAACAGTTTGCAATCCATTTTTTTTTCCAATTTCAAACTGGGGGAATGCAGGATTCTAATTCGTTGAGGGTCATGCTAATTTACCCCTTAGAAGACAAGAGGCTAGGCTTTCAGGAGGCTAAAATCTTCATTTAAAGCGGCGCTTAGAAAGAGTTGACAATCTCGGGCAGGAGCCAGGTCCTCAAGGGCCACTCGTTTTGCACAAGACCTTCCGCAATCTAACCGATCACTTGATCGAGTTCTAGACATAGCGGCTCTGAGGAAGTAACTCACTTCTAAACCTCTTTTCCAACGTAAATGTTTTGACTGAGTAGGAAATAAGCTTAAAACAAAAACAAAGCAAAACGAAACAGAGCAAAAAGAAAAGAGGGAACAAGAATTGGTTTTAAATATAAACAAGTTTTAATATAAAGTAACGATTAAATTCAAATAGAAGATAAGGGCTCTGTGAAACTACAGTAAGCAAATGAACCTTCTTGCTCGCGGAACTCACGGTTGCCTTCTCGATCGAGGTCTCAATATTTATCGCTCATTCTCCTTCTGAATTCAGTTGCTTTATCAGTTGCCTGTTTGAGAAAGACGTTTTCTTTCTTCGTGTCACGAGGAGGTGTCCCCCTGTCCCCTGGGGGTTACTCCCTTATTTGGGCCATACGGGGACGTGCCGCTGAACAGGGTCAGTGGTTTTTCCGAGCCTCACTGTCTTGAACAAGGTATACAATTTACTCCCCGCTGTCCGCTAAACAGGGTTAGAACCTTCCCTAAAAAGCGTATGACATTACGACCCGAGAGACGTTGCCGGTGTTATTCTCGGCGGTTCCGGCACCCCTATACCCAAACATGTTTCAAGCAACCCCCCACCCCAGGCTCCCTGTGAGAAGTCAAACTTCAAGATTTTTTTCGGACTCAACACTGCGATGGCCTACCACTCAGGGCCACAAAGGCTCAATGGCGAACTAGGTTACAATTAGCTTCAAGTTTGACGCGCTTCCCGTGTATTGTATGGATCAGTTATGTCGATGATCATCCTGTGCGTTTCATGCTTTATTTTGAAATTGTTTACACGCGCTTTCATAGTCCAATTACCAATGAAGGCAACTGGGTTGCGCATTAATTTAGCCGGGCAAAACTATCAACGATTATCCAGAGTTAGAAAGTCGTAATTAAGGGAAATCAAATTATTATATTATCCAGAGAAGCGAAAGGCACACAAAAATAAAGGAAACTTTTGAAAATGATGCGAAACCGGGGGTTACACTATCGTTAAATGGCGAAAAACTGAAGGACGTTAAGACTTTGCTTTTTATCTGTTTCCCGATTCGTGGATGATGTCGCTGAACATAGCCAACCCACCGAAAACAAGGCTCGATGTGCTGTGCAAAGCCACGTCGGTAATATGCGTAATAATTATCACGCGTGGCTCAGGCATGCCAAGAGCTCTTGGGCAAGTCTGCAAAGTAACTTTTTTTGAGGTAAAATTCTTGTAAGAATCTAATGACCGTTGCATGACCGTGTACGTGCACGTCTTTAATACAAGTTCGATACACAGAGAGATAACATAAGTGGTAATTGAGTATTTGAAACAACTTCATTTTGAACCAGAATATTGAGACTTTAGCGACATGATTTGTTATGTCTGGTTCAGAAGTGCGCGTGAACAAGGATGTAACTTGAATTATCTAATAACAAGGACGTTTGACCCTGTAAATTACTTCAATTTTATCTCTCTTGTGACCAGTTAAGAGCTAAGCTAAGGTCGAAAGAGATTTGTTTTGAAAAACATTTTCATGAAAGCCCCCTTAGAGATAGCCTGTTGTAGGCAAAGCGAGAGCTATGGAAGTGTGGGTCGGGTCGACCCTACCCAAGCCCCTCTCGTCTTTTCACTTCGCTGCTAGGACGGCGCTCTTTGTTCCACCAACCAAACGCCCTGGAACAGGCTTTCGTAATGTTGTTATTTCCCAAAAATTTTAGTTTTCAGTGTTATTTTCAATTTTTTCTTCCTCATTTCTTGATTACTGTACTGTAATTTCAGTCAGCTAACATGAATATGATCTAACTGCAGTTTTGATGCTTTTAACTTTGGTTATAGGAAGGTAATCAAGTTGTAATGTAACATTGTATACTCCAAATTCTTCATCATTATCATTTTTAGACCTACTGTCGTTGTTGTCATCGTTGTCAATGTTGTAATCGATGTCGTTTGCGATATCGTTGTCGTTGTCAATGTCACTGTTACTTTCATTCATGGACATTGTCAGCATTACTCTGATTTGTTCTGGTTTCGCCAGACATTGTGCGGAATTTTGGCGGAATTCTATGGATTCCACTCAGTGCTCTTTGGTTGGACATTTCCAATATTTTTCTCTCTTTACCAGAGGGTCTTCAACCCTTATCGAACAGCTGGTTAAGAGAGCAGAACCCCACTGTAGAACCCCACAATGATCCCGCCTACGCGAATAAAACAAACAAACAAACAAACTGACAAAAACAAAACTGTGAAACAAAAGAAAATCACCTTCTACAGCTAACCCTCTGGAAAGGAAAGAAAACATCAATTTCACAAGGCTCAGTTCAACTTTGTTTCCCTGCCGTAAATAACTCGCTAGCTAGCTCTTATCACATGCCGTAACCACTGATGATTGGTGAGAAAAACCTTACCGGATAATGACAGCGTCTCTATGAGGAAACATATGGAATTGGAGCCCTGAATTAAAAAAAAGAAACCTTTCAGCCGAAAGAGTATTAAAAAAAAAGACAAGTGAATTTCAAATTTACGTCTTTCTCTTCGATGAAAGAATAAAAACTAAAAAGGTTTGCGTTCCTTTTTTATTAGAATATTGTTTTGTTGGTTATGGCACCTGTCCCCAAAAACTTGAAATAGAACTTCCAGTCCAGTAATTACATGGAGAAATCACGTGGTTAAAATACTGGCTTGATGAATGGATATATCATTTGTCACCGCTGCAATTAACATGCAAGAGAAATATTCTGAAGAAGTTTCTTTATTAAATGGCAAAGATCAGTCTTAACACATGAATTACGAGTTGTTAAATCAAGCCAGATCTTCGAAATTCGTTCACCTGTTAAGCGTGAGTTTTTTCGCTTTCGGTTTTGAGTTTTATTTTTTAAAACTTTTTTCTAAATATAACTTCAAAGCCAACATCATTTCGTGCTTTCTAAATAACATATTGCTCCAGAGTTGGTATCTGTATCAGGCAAGAGCGGGATAAAAGAAACTGAAAAAAGATTTAAGACTAATCTATAACGAGTTTTGTGATCATTCGTGCACTTCGCGTCTGTGAATAGTTGTCAGAATTTATGCTAGATATCCCTGAAAAAAGGAAGATTCAGCCAATCATTTTCAAACCACAGTTAGTTTGTGTTTCCGTTTCGACACAGCACGTCGAACAGAGTGATTATTCGTCTCATTTCGTTCCAGTCGTCTATAAAAGATCAGGGTTAGTGTAAAACCTTTTCACTTATTTGATCTAACTATGCGTAACTTCAGAATATATAACTACGTCGTTTCAGCGCTTTCAAGCAAATTTTTTGGCACACAGCTTGCATCATTAATCAGCTCCTCCAAGAGATCAATTCTTTTTCCTTCTTTTGCTTTATCTTCAGCATTGTCTGTCGTACCTCGCCGAAGTACCGTGGTCAAGAAATTTAAACCGTATACGAAGTTAAACTTGAATATTGAGGTGAGTTTTAATTTTGAATGGTTTGTTTTCTCACGTAACCGGCTAATGACTATAGCCAGGTTGTCCTCAGTTTGTTTTGTTCAAGTTAGTGAAGCGTATGTCCATTGCAAGTTTTGATTAACACCCGACGTGCGAATTCCCCGAAGAATCTGTGAAAATTCTAAAAGCTGCACTGTGGGTAAATCAGCGACATCTGTAAACTGATAGCATATTTGGAAGTTTGATTATTCATGTAATATTTTGCATTTGTTTGTCCGTTCGTAGTTTCTTACATAACGACTGGAGCAAATCGTCTTAGACTATTGTCGTTCGTTTATCTAGCTATAGCTGGTCTAATTTTATTTCTTTCTTTCTTCCAAAGTTAGTTTATAACTTTCATGGAGAGTCGAAAATCATGACTCAAAATGCAAAGCGACAGCGGCATTTTGAATTAGAAACAAACTATCAAATCAAACTGACAAAAACAAAACAAAACAAAACAAAACAAAAATCTTTTACTCCTCATTTCATGGCAAGAATCGAATGCCTGATACCGAGAAAAAGTAACTAGTAATTTTTCTTTTCTCTCTCTTATGCACATCGAAACTGAGCCGGGAACCCCGTGCAACTCGCTGTGGTGATTGCGCTCGTGACACATGTTTAAGCGCACCGTCCCACTGAATGCAAATCCAGTCGGCTGAATTTAGAAAAAAAAAAAAAAGAAAAAGAAAAACATATGGCTTTATCGCAATTTACTTCTTGGCTAGTATACGTGTAGTCTATATTTACATCTTTCAATCTACCTCAGTAGTTACTTGTATAAATATAACCCTCTGGCTACAAACGTGTGAAGAGTTTTATTTTCTTTGGCTCACACCCTTCAGCTTTAGCGGATGTTCGGGAGCTTGCAGACAATAGTACATGTCGTTAGAGATGATTCCTCGAAAAGCGGTATTCCGTTTCGTTGCCAGGGAAAAATAGTTTTTAATTACCTAGATTCAATTGTCTAGATGCGAAAAATAATCTTTGACATGTTCAATTATTTTTACTTTCCTTGCTCTTCCTCTTTCGTTGAGTGAGCGTGCGTCACCTGTTGATGACTGTCCAGCGGTATTAGCAGCGCTTTCCCATGCAAATATGGTTGTGTAGAAAAGTTTTGTGTTGACATAATTTGGCCAATACATTTTTATCCGTCGTTTCTCGTTCTTTTGGTTATAGCTAAATCACACTCGAAGTTCAGTCTCGCTGTGTATTGCGCTTTTAGACTTGTCGTGTAACGACGATCGAGACAACTATTCGGTACAAAACGGCTGAGGCTGTTATGTCGGTCTCTGTACTGCATCAAACTTAAATCAAGCACTTTATTACCGCAGTTCTCCGGGTTACCTTTTCAGATCGATTTTGGGACAGGAGGAAAAATCTTATTTTGAAGAACAAAAGAGGACTCTCTGGACGCTAACATGAGGGATTTTAAGTATTCTTTGTTGTTTGCCTACTTGGTTTGGATCATTGGGATATGTGGCCATCAGCGACCGAATTGCGAATATCGATCGGGAGAAAGGGAACTCGTTTGCGAGGAAATAATCGATCCATCTTTGGCCCAGAACATTGCAGAATCTACGGAGCGGATGTGAGTATCTCTTTCATTCGATTTAACACTCTGTTGATGCCTTTTTTTAGCCGATAATGAATGTGATGTGCAGTGCGTTTTGCCCGCCATGTATGGGTTGTGGCCTGCTTCGAATAAGATGAAGCTTCGAGACAAGGCATTTGACGGTTCCCACGTTTGGATAGATAGCCAGACAGAACTGAGAAACTGAAAATTTATTTTCGCTTTGTAATTTCTAGTATATCGTGGTTTGGATATTCGATGGTTTGAATCATACTCAATGAGTGGAATCATAAACCCACTTTAAAATTGCCAATAACAAAAGTTGATTGATATGATAGGTAGCTAGTATATTTGCTACTGTGTTGTCATAGGTAAGCTAGAATATTGCGTGGCGCATGATGTTCGAAGTCACCCTTGAACTAGGTGATTACGCAACTTTAAATAAGCATGCCTTTTTTTTTAATGATATTCCCTAGGCACAAATATACGATAGATTTATGCTGAACTATATTCGGTATCGCTAAAATAAAAAGCAAGCTCGCGCTCGCGAAAGACGAATTTAATCCGCTAACAGCGCTCCTCCGCTCCTCCGGCATTGCAGTAATATTCTTGGAGCGTTATAGCCTCTTACTCGAAGGGCTTAAGGAAGCAACGGTATACTAGAAACTATAAGCAAAGTACCGAGAGATATCGAGTACTCCCATCTTTGAGTAGGTTTTTATTTTATTTCCTAAATTTTCCCTTTGAGAGAATTTATAAATTTTGAGTTGACATATCATCACTTCCTTGTTTTGTTTAAAAATAGTTCCCATGTCATCGTGTGCGCGCCAGGGTTGTCAAGTGCCGATGTCACTAATTTCGAACCTTTCTTGTTACTAATATTTTTTGAAATTATTTCGACTTATGTGAGATTTAGCCGCTAAATATTGAAGTGAAGTGTCTTTTATGTTAACTTCTCTTGTTTTTCTAGCGATATTGAGTTCGTTATAACGGAAAGACTGAGATAGTAACAAATTTCCCTCAAAACATTTATTCGCCTACGGTCTTAGCAACATTGTCTCGCGCACACATCATTGTATGTTGGACGTACATATGCCTAAAAAAATTGATATGTATGATTGCCACCGGGACGGGAAGAAGTAAAGAAGTAGTGAACACGACCATATTTGATAACGTATCTGATAGTTATCACTTAAAGCTATGACCCGTTGCGAACTCGTTTAAGATGTCCATCGCGGCCAGTTGGCGATATTGAATTCGTAATTAATTCATACCTTATATCTACGGTGTTAGCAACAAATTGCTTTCAAAACATTTGTGCACATTACGGCTTAGCAACTTGGTGTTACTTTCCCACATGCATGCAATTATTGGTGACGAAGAAGTGCGTTTTGTACAGTTCGACAAGACGGGAAGTAGCAAAGCGTGCTTTATTTGATCGCATGTTTGGAAAACACGGTGACCCTTTGGGCGTCAAAAAGGCTTTATTTTTCGAGTTTGGTTTCGCCCCGTAATATCATCACCAAAAGTTTGAATTTACGCGAAGTCCAATCAATTAAAATACATAGATATTGCTCTGAGTGTTAATATTGTGGTACATTAAGCGATCTTCATTATATGTTTTCTTGCTCTGAATGTTGATCTTGTTGTACATTAAGTGATCTTCGTTGTTTTCTTTCTTTGTTTTCTTGTTTCCGGTTGGAATAACTTGGATCAGAAGATGTAGAGTAATTTTATTTGTAGCAGGAACATATTATTGATAATATACTTACTATTTGTATATTCAGCAATATGAACAGAAATTAGAAGTAGTTCTTTCCTACGTGATTTGGATTTTAAAGATTTGGCTACGTGATGCATTGAAATTCTTGATGGTGTTTGTTATTTGTAATGTCAGTGGCCGTATTCTTTCGCTTCGTGTTGTACAAACATCCTTCTGTGTTCGTTACCTCAGAGTTATGTGCAGGCTTGAGTTCTTTTATTGTGATAATCAACCCTTGCAGGATTTGTGGGCTCACTGATCTCTAACTCGAAGACTAGTTATTTATAGAATCGTAAATCGTAGACTAATTTCTTCCTTGACAGTTCTCAGGCAAATCTACCTCTTTTTCCTTCAGCTTAGTGTCAAGGGAAGCTTTGGTGTCAGGGAAATCTTTGGAGGGAAAATCTTTTTCTGAAGTCTAAAGATGACTTCTAAATATAAATAAATACTTTCGAGGGTAGTTGTAAAGCTTGCAAATTTTCCTTGTGTTAGGCGCACGAAACAGATTCAATCAGGTAAACTTTCTTCGGAAACTTCCCAGAATGAATGTGATTATAAGACTGTTTTGGTAAATTTTTCATTACCTGTTAGGAAACGGGACAAATGTTGAAGACATTTGTAGAGAACTGCGAAATCAAGAAATAGCCTAGCCTTGAAAATGTGTTGCTATTTATAAGAGCAACGTCGATGACTAATCCAAAACCGTCTCCGCAATACGACGCCCTTGTTTTTCTGAATAACAACAAAGGTTAATGGTCTCTAACAATTTTAGTATTGTTATCACCGTATTGTTCTTCGGCGAGCGCTGAAAGTGAAAGTAATTTTTACTACTTTTACTATTTTCGGTAACGTAGCCGCAATTTGTTATACAAATTAGGCGCGATTTTCGCAAACATCAAACTTTAATTGCTCTTCTTCATGGACGTCATTTACATGCTGTTTTTGTTGTGCGTGGCTTGAACTTTGCTCCTTTGTGTACTTCCCAAGCAAATTTGCTCAAGAGCTGAGTCATTGTTGTTGTAGTTACGTACTTGTAGATTTCTTTCGTTTAATCAAATTGGAATAATGACGTCCTTTTTATTTTCCACGGTCGACCAATATTACGGTAAAAATAGATAACAAATGATTTGACAAATTTTGTTAAGTCGCGTGATACTCGCGAGGGAGGCTCGCGTGGTGTGTTTTCGTAGCTTAGGTTGCGTGGTTTTACTTATCGCTCAAATTTGTTTTCCTTTGTTTTGTGATGACAATGTGACTAAAACTCGGATTACATCCAACACCAAGATAACTGACATTTGCAACTAAAGATATGTCTTTTCAAAATTGCAACAGCAGTTTCTTTACCTTTATCAATTTACATTGGAGAGCCAATTCATTGATTCACCTGTTCGGTGACACAGCACAAAATTAAATTGTAAAGAAACTACAATAATAATTTCAGTCAGTTTGGGTAGAAACTGTGGGTTGGGCCGCTATTTGGGCTAAAGGAAAGAACCAATGGCTGTTCATAGTCTCAGAGAGTTTGGAAAGGAAGAACTTGGAAATTGCCTAAAACAGCATAGTTTGACAACAGACGACCCCTGGGGGTCGATTAACTATGTGGGGGCCGATTCTTGAAAGTCCCAATGACTTAACTGGCCTGCTGAAGCCATATTCTAAAATAAAAATTAAAACAATAGATTTTAGAAGGCTCTGGCTCCTTAATTACCATTCCATTTTGCTCCTTAAGCTGATAGTTTATTACATACTTTTCAAAAAATTTGAAACCCCCATCTGGAATGAAAAAATAACGACTTTATATGCTCGTGAAGTTGCCAGGATCTTCGAGAACTGGCCTTATGGAATGTAAGATTTCCGAATGGAACATAAAGCGGGATATGAGTTGAACTGATAGTCTTTGGGGAACACTTTAGATTGTAAGGGACAAGGCATGCCCACACATGGAATGCCTATGAATCACGGATGTAAATAAAATCAGCTACCTTATAATGTGGCCTCAAAAATTCTTCCTACAGTGTTTTCACGTCAGATTCTTTGGCTTGTGACTGTTCTTTGAGAGCTTTGTTAGAATGGAGGGAAGAATTATCATTGACAAGAAGTGTTGCCCTAGAAGGAACTTGTTCTTCTCCAAAGTACCCCTTGGGTCAATCCATCAACAGCCTCTCCCCCACAGACATTTCTTGTGGTAAGTTTTTCTTTTCTTTGCGTTTTTTTTTTATAGAATGTTGAGGAAAGTGTTCGTAATAGACACGATAAAGGGGTTTTGTCAAGAAAAGAGTTCAGCATGTTGATAGACATTTAGGGGTTAAAGATTATTGATCTTCTGCACTGTCCCTTACACCTTTCTTACAATTACGGCTATTGGAATTTGTTGTTGAATTAAACAATATCCTTTACTCAATGAAAGAGATTAAATTCTATCCTAGCTAAGTTTAATAATCTGCCATCGATTAACGAAACGATACTCAACTACATACTTCAAACAAAAAAAAAAAAGGGTGAAAGTCCATGACGGTTATTAGTGTGCTGATAACTTTCAAAGAGATGCAAAGAAACCTGTTTGAAGTGAACATGAAGTAACTGCTCACTGTTGAGTAATCAGTGTTTCTGACGCGTTCATTGTTGTTGTTGTTTTTTTTTTTTTAGGTGCTGGTGATGCTTTGCTTGTACGCAAAAGACGAGCAGGTAAGGAAATCGTGGGTCGAAAAGTGTTTCTGTCAAAAGGATCTTGTACTGTTCCCTCGAGTCGCTCCTTATTGAGGATTCTACATTGTCATTGCAGTTTGTACGGAAATTCGCTTAACATTAGACCAGCAAAATGGACCGTTGAGAACTAAAGGATGATTCCTTTTGAAATGACTGAATCACTGTACTTAATTACTTTTTCCCCAATGTATTTTGTCTTTTATGTCATTTTCTGTTCTTCTTGTCTTGCAGCTGACGAAGGTCAACAGCCGAATGAAAACAAAACTTATATACCAGGTAACACACTTTGATTGTAATCACCATCGCCCTCGTGCGTCTAAACTTGAAAATAAGCCCGAAACTAAGGAATTAGTTTATGAGTTTGCTTTTTTTTCAATTTTCCAATTTGTCCGGGTCGTGGTCCGGTTACAATCTTGCGATAAGCTAAACAGATTCGAGGATAAACGTTTGCGTTCCGCTGAGATGCTTCGGAAAAAAAAAATAAAACACAGTAATCTGGCTATTTTTGCTGTTTCCTCGTGTGGTTTTCGTCTCCTGCATGAAGAAAAAGTTTCTTGACAAATACAACCGTTTCGTTTTTAGTGAGCAAAGTTTTTTTCACGTCCTAATGGCTTTTTTAAATACCAATCGCACTCACTATGAATAATAATTTTTAGGGCAATCTATATCTAAATGGTGTGAACAAAAGAATGGTGCGTACTGGGAATAATGATAAACAATTATGGGCTAATTAATAATGGTAATTGAACAGCGTGGGCTGAAATCATACGCGTGATTTCAAAATCGAACGAGCGCGCAGCGCGAGTTTAATTTGAAATCACAAGTATGATTTCAGACCAAAATTGCACGACACGAGGTTCAATTACCACTTTATTACATCCATTTTGAAATCGCTCAAATACAGGACTTGGTCAATTCAAATATTTAACTGATGCAGTACTGAGCCGGTTTTTAAATAAAAAGTGGAACCGGAAACGCTTTTACATCTTATTTTGTATGCAAAACAGAAAGACTTTGACATCATGTGTCAAAAACTCAGTCAAGCGTAAAATGATGCGATTTAGAGCAAAAAATGGTGCGATTTGGGAATAAATCAAACCAATTAGAACTAATCAGATTACAGGGACCACCAGTGATTTCAAAATAGATGTAATAAAATAAGCAATGACACATTGCAACAGTTGCAGAACAGGAACTTTGATTTCTCAATCCTTTTTTCACCGCGTTAAAGGCACTTCCCATTGATCGCTGTCTTCTTCCACGTTATTTTTAGAAAAAGATATAATATTGTTAGAAAGACCTCGGCTAAGAACGAAGAAGACTATGGGAGATCGCGCGTTTTCAATAGCTGCCCCCTTCTTATATCCTCTGCCAATAAGACAGGAAACATCAATCAACTCCTTCAAACGCTCGGTTAAAACATTTATTTAAAAAGGCTTTTAGTTAGATTATTTATTCATTTCATTTGATATTGTGATTTTTAAAAAAATTCTATGTCTTACTAATTACTCTGGAAATTTTTTTACTGTAAATATTGTAATTTTACTGGGTTAAATAATAATATTGTAATGCGCTTTTGAGTATTTATATAGAAAAAGCGCAATATAAGTATTAAATATTATTATTATTATTATTATTTTTATTATTATCATTATTGTTAACACTTGTTGTTGTTACTGTTTTTTTTAGATGCACCTCTTTGGCCATGTGACTTTGAACAAGGATTGTGCCAGTGGTTCCAGTTACATAATGGTGATTTTCACTGGACAAGATACAAGGGCGACACACCGTCCTCGAATACTGGCCCGACTACGGATCACACGAAAGGAACTGGTCAGGAAAAAAAATAATTGTCTTAAAACAAACCAGCACTTAAAATCTACTATAATTAAAGTCTAATTTATTATCAGAACGTTTATTTTGTCATGAAATATCTTGGTAGTACGATGTACATGTGTCTGCTGTCTTCGTTTTCCCGGGAGATGGAGCGGAATTTCCTTTTCTCTTTGAATTCCCAATTTTTCGAGTTCTCCTCTCCCATTGAAATAAACTTGTGATAGACTAACAACCCGAACCAATAATTTTATCCGAAGTCCACGTGTTAAACACGAGACCAATGCCTTTCCCTATCAATGCACGAGTTAGATAAGACAGTTGTAGATCTAAATTTAATTCCCGTTTCTTGTATTGCATAGTTAATGGATACTATATCTACATTGAAACATCTCTGCCTCGACGGCGAGATCACAAGGCCAGACTGGTTAGCCCAACATTGGCCCCCGTGGATCCGAGTAACACTTGTCAGGTCAGTTTTCATTCATTTCTAGAGCTCTTCAATTGGGGATCACAGCTAATCCAGAATTGAGGAGGGTAAGTTTCCAAAGAAACTGTGGTGCTACGTCGGTGTGGAGTATTCAATTACAAGATAATTTGGTTTTGTCAACGGAGTTGATACTGTAAATTGGCCGCAGTGAAGAGGTTTAACTGTGACGTTTTGTTAGCCCTTCGTCAGAGCGAATGATTTAGGAATTAGAATGGGTCTGATCCGGGATTAGTTTGGGTTTTACTTCTCCACGCTTTGTGATTGGAAGAGAACATCTGCGCTGCCTTTTCAGCCGATCAGATGTAAGACCAAAACCAATAGTGAAATGGTCACAAGCGTTTCTTCCCGCGTGATGGCAATTTTTCTTTTTTTTCTTTTGTCATGAGTCGGAGTTCTCATCGACTCGTTATAAACATCGAATTTCAACTTCAAAGACAGACTAGATTTCGTTGCAAAGTAAGAACTCCGAATCAGTTTCGGGGACGCCATGGTGGACAAATGATCAAAAAACGAATTTTGGAGACGCCTGCGTAAATTGTAGAATTTGAGAGAATGATGCTTGTACGAGAGATCAGTCTGCACCTCTTTTTCTATATTGAACTTACCTTGTTTCGTCAAAGTGATGGCCAACGGTATAGGAACTCACCAGCTCCAGGTTCGTTATCCGTGTACACAGTCTGTGACACGTATCACTGATACGACGTAAAGCGATGACGCAAAATCCATGTCACGCCTTCCATTCACATGTGTCCTGGAGACATCCAGCTAACGGGAAGTTTGATTCCCTTTTTTTTTTTTGTCCCTTTAATCAGATGGATTTGTTCATCCACATGAAAGGAAGTCACATCGGTGAACTCAACATCTACCAACAACCAGTCGTGGGTTTTGCTGTAAAGAAACTGTCACTCACAACAAACCAAGGTTCTGATTGGTTTAAACGGCAAGTTCAGTTTGACAGTGACACGAAATTTCAGGTTTGTAAAAAACATGTCAAATGCATGCGTCTGAAACATTAAGCTTTAATCAGTGAGTAGAGACTTGATCACGTAAAAATACAGTTTAAGACTGGTACATTGAAAGACCTAAAAGACTTTTATTGTCTCTTTGAGATTCGCATGTTCTGCATTATCCAGTCTTAGTGTATCAAACGACGTATTACCTGCCAAAATGTACAATAGCGCAATTTCTCAGCTGGCCTGTTTTGTGTGCGTCATTTTCAAGCGATCAAGGGAAAATAGGGTAGCAGGAAGGGAGGCTTTTGGCCTTTATTTTCTTTTGATTATAGGATTGAATCTTGTTTAAATGTGCAGTAAATCCGAGCGGCACCCGGCCCTCTAAAGATCAAATCTACTTTCTACCCTTCGATAATGCCAGCGCGAAAAATACCAAAAACAACAACACGAAGTTTTCAGGAGTGGATATAATAAGAGTGCCATGATTGCTTGCACTCAATTGGCTAGAAAAAAGTGCTTTATGTTGTCGCTTTTGCTTGCTTTGAATGTATGTTTAGGTAAGGTTTCTGGCAACTTTCGACGTACATCATCATACCATGAGTCGCTAAATAGAGGAGTTAATGTACTCGCTAATTAAGAAATCTCATGCGTGTTCATTTTTTCCTGCAGGTCATAATTGAAGGTGTGCGCGGCGCTCAGTACCAGGGAGACATCGCACTGGATGACATTTCATTCACAGCTGGGTGTAAAAGACTAGGTCTGGGAAAAAAAGAACCATCCTCTGATTTGTTTTGTTTACTTGAAAAAATGTGCATTCAAGTCAGTGAATACAGTAATATACTTTCAAGTGAATACGAGGTTGCAAGTTTTCTTCTAAACTTTGTATAAAATCTATTTTACCGGATTGCTTTTAAACGCAATATTCAGCGTTTATTCCTTTCTTCTCCCTTATCACTATCACTTCTTCCGGCATTGCAGCGCATTTTGAAGGCTTACACGGAGATTTTGGTGGGCTAAAATGTATTTTAGCCCACTCGCACGCTTGCGGGATCGTTCAGACTATCGTAGTCATTTTAACTCTCGCTTAGTGGCTTGGGCAAAAGTGACTCTGAGTCAGGCCCAACACGTCGCCATACCCGCGAACATAAACTCAATTTTTTTTAATTATCAACGTTTTACTTGCATTACCAAACTTTGGCTAGAAATTTACGAGGTGCTCAATTTTCAATTCGATTTTCGTACTCACATGATACTTAAGAAAAAGTTCACCTTCAACGTTTTAGTTCTCAGTTTGCAAGGACTGATGGATGTAAATGAAAACTGAGAAGCACTCTAACATGAAATTACCTTTTTATCCCCTCTCCCAGCTCCATCCTATGTGCGTCTTGTTAATGGTTCAACATTCAACGAGGGAAGGGTGGAGGTGTATCACCAAGAGCTATGGCAACCAGTTTGCAGTGAAGGTTGGAGCCAATCAGATTCTTCCGTTGCTTGTAGAGAACTGGGATTTAAAAACGGATCTACAGAAGGTAACCCTGTATTAGATGATCACCCCGTATTTTGCGGTCACCCTGTATTTAGCGGTCACCCCGTCTTTGGCGGTCACCCTGTATTTAGCGGTTACCCCAGCTGTATTAAGTGGCTACCTTCTTTAAGTGGTCGGTTGTCTTGCTGCCGAATTTGTCTCCCCTTTAAAGCGGTCCTCAATTTTAGCACTCGCCATCATGGACCCCAACGACCTGTTTGTATTGTGTTCCACCTGTATTGAACTGTCACTTAGAGAAGAACTACTCAAGTAAAACTCAAATGAAATTTAATCTTAGTTTCACTCCCGAAATAAATTTTAGTAGTATTTTTGAGCGAGTTTTTGTACATCAGGTGGCCTATTATTGCATAAATTTACTTTTTTTTTCCCCTTTTATATATTACCTTTATTCGGTGGAACCGTTAGTTACTGGTCAACTTGTATGACGCGGTCAATCCGTGGGTGACCGTTAAATACAAGTTTGATTGTGTCAGTTACTTCTACAGTAATTTTTCAGTGAGGAGAATTGATATCAAGGTCTTGGTAGGAGAGAGTAATAGGTTAGCCAGGGCTCGACTCCAACTTTTCAAATTACTAGCCTAGTGGCTAATGGCAACTTATACGTCACAACAATTTCAGTTTGTTCACTAGCCAAACTGGCTAGTGGATATCGAAAGCCACCAGCCAAAACTGAATTTCTACTAATCCATGGCTAGTTGGCTACCTTTAGTGTCAAGCCCTGTTAGCTGTCGTCGATACTGATTTTATTTGTCAAGCAGACGTTCATTGATGTTTTTTGCTTATCTTTATAGATACACCGCTGTTCGGCATGTTCGCTGGACTTTCTAACGTTACTTGCAAAGGTGATGAGACGTCAATCAAAAATTGTTCTCTAGGAGAGAGCTCGAACAACGCAACTTGTCCCAGTAATAGTACAGTTACAGTTAAATGTGCAGGTAAGAAAGGTTCTTCAGTTAGTGGCCTTTTATCTTGGTTTATTCAGTCAGCAGATATGAATTGTAGATGTCTTCATTTTTAGATTTGTATTATTCTCCTGTAATGTTCAGTTATTCTTCACTAATCTGAGTCTTTCGATATTCCAAATGTCCTTCTTTATGAATGAAATTGGCCTTAAACCCGACACGTCTACTGTGCAAAAGCAATGAATTACAAAAAAAGATTTGTCTTCAAATTTCGATGCGAATGTTCTTTGGGTGGTTGTCTTTCTTCATGAGAAGGTTTATTTGTTTGTTTGTTGGGTTTTTTTGTGAGTGTCCCCAAATACTCGAATGCCTTTTGACTCCAGACTGCAAGAATCAGATTCCATTTTTCGCTGACCTGATCAGCAGAAAAAATGACCGTACTATTAAATCAAGCTTTAATCATTAAATATATATTTCTTTTTTCCAGGTATCCTCCCTGTATGCCCCTTAAAAACTCACTTTCATTGTCCAGCGGACGGCAGAGGTAGCATGACATGCATTTCGCGGGATCAACTCTGCGACTTCACCAGTGACTGCTGGGATGGCTCTGATGAAATTAACTGCGAAAATTACACGCGTTGTGATTTCAACGACACCAGAATATGCGGCTGGCTTCAGGCCAAAAACGACCAAATGGACTGGACACGGCACAAAGGGAGTACAGCATCCATCTTCACAGGTGACTTGTAATGACGGATGACGTAAAAATGTCGTGCGCTCAAGCGTCTTTTTTCTTTTTTTTTTTACGCTCCTCGTCCCGCGCAGGACTGGCCCTGTGCGCTCTGCTAGCTTTTTCCTCTTTCGCGTTTCTGCTCGCCTTAAAAGTCGTTATTTCTGCAGGCTGTGGGAATATTTCAGTTAACACGACAACAAGCACGTTCTGCATGACATGTTCCCCTTGTGGAGTTATCCAATGGCAAGTTTGAAATTCTTCCACTGAGAAATTCTCCTGCCGTTGGCAAGTTTTCTATCGATAAGTTTTCAGTTGACAAATCAGTTTTCCTTGGCGCGTTTTCACCATAACGTTCTCCTCAGCAAAGCAGATCTAGGATTAAGCAAAGTTTATCCGTAGCCTAGACAAGTTCTCCTATACGAAAACCATAGTGGGATTCTAAAGTAAAGAAAGTTGGTTGGGGCTAAATTTGCTCGTGTAGCACATGAAAATTAAAACCGTTCTTGATGCACCTAGAAGTAAACCATAGAATTCTTTATGGTTCCGTTGTTAGAATTTTTACCTAGATGTGCAATTTCTTTCTTTCTAACCTATTCAACAACGAATGTGTAAGAAGGTTACTTTTGTTTAAATTTCAGGTCCATCAGCTGATCATAATGGCAATCGCAATGGCTATTATTTATACCTGGAGGTTTCGAATCGACAAGGCGGTGAAAAGGCCAGAATACTCGTCATTCCGCGTTTTCAAGGTTGGTGAATTAAAACCAAATAATTTATGCGTAGATGTCTTTCGTTTACTATATTGAATTATTCTCTATTTCTAACCTTGTAAATGGTTACTAATTAGCGCAGTCGCTCAAGTTGATAATTTCGTTGTTTTGACATTTCATTTACTTCACAGGTGATAACAATGGTCTTTGCAAGCTTCGCTTCTACTATCATTTGTATGGAGTCGGGATTGGTACTCTCCGTGTGCTAGCCGCTGACCGGTACTCTCAGCAGACGCTGTGGACGAAGTCTTATTCGCAACTTAACGAATGGGGACGCGCTGAAGTGCCTTTATTTAACTTGTCCTCCTCGTTTTATGTGAGTTCTCACATAGGCATTAATGGAGAATTGCTCTTTCGAAATTCATCCTAACGCTCATTGCTCTCTCTCAGTCTGTTCATCGATTGTTGTACGATTAGAAACAGGAGGTCGTGGAATGTATGGGTTAGGGTTGGGGAAAAGACTGTTTGGCTGTTGCTGTTGCTGTTGTTTTCATATTTCCTTATTGAGGAAAGGGAAGGAATTCACCCATACGATTAAGGAACGTGGACCTGGTGGGCATGATGTGTCTTTCATAGTTTAAGGGGGGGAATTAGGGAACAAGAAGGGCGTATGTCCTGTTTCGTTCCTTTGTCACTGCTGTTTCACTCTGATACAGATGGCATATAACCCGTAGGTGTTCTTTCTGCTGAGTTGACCCTTTGACCCAAAAGAGTGACCAGCATCTAATTTCTCCTTACATATCACCTCTGAATCACGCATTAAGGTCAGGAGAATAAAGGAAATAATCACCAGCTAAAGAAAAACTAATCCTCCTTGTCAATCAGCACCTAAGGAGATGTATGAAGAACAGTATGAAGAATATGCATACTTATGTTGGCAGAGGCGGATCTCGGGGAGGGGGCCACGGGGGCCGTCCCCTCCCCCTCCACCCATTCCCCTTTTTTTGGGTTAAAAAGAAATGAAAGCAGAAGGAAGAAAAACCCGCAGGTTTACACACACCAAAAAAAAACTGTCGCTCCCCTCCTTCCCTTTCAGCTCAAGGTTTGGATTCGCCGCTGGTTAGGGTGTAAAGAATTAAGTGCAGTGCAACTAAAAAAGTGCTAGTCTCAACCTTTATTGCAGTTCACAATCTGCGCTGAGCACAACTTGTGTCTTCTTACCGCTGCTGAGTGTTCAACACTCTCCGCTAATTTTCTTCTTGAACTCTTCGTCTCCCTCAACAGGTTACATTTGAGGGCGAGCACAGTGGACACAGTCCTCACGGGGACATAGCAATTGATGATATCTCGTTCACACCGGAGTGCCGACCTGCACCCCACGGTACCGCGACATAATCTTGTCTTTTTTTTAAGAAAGTTCGTTGTCTTATTAATTGACTGTTTTTAACGTTTTGTTTTGCCTTTCAGAAAACGTCACTTGTAAGGAGGGAACCTTTCCGTGTGGAAGTGGCGAATGTATTTCTTTGTCCAAACAGTGTGATTTTACCGATGACTGTTATGACGCATCGGACGAGTTAAGCTGCGGTAGGTTATTCAACTGAGCGGCCGTCTGTGACCTGAGCGTGCAAAATTACTTAGTATCACACATTTTAACGTAAAGTACACGAATATAGCCACTGTAACCGTCTCGAGGCCAGTTGCAAATGAGTTTGAACGTGGACCTAAGAAGTGAGATGTATCTCTAGTGAGAGGTTTTTTGAATTGAAATCGTTGGCTTTTCAGGTCTCACACCTGGCCGCTGTGATTTTGAGGCCGACATGTGTCACTGGCAAAACTTGACAGATGATGATTTTGACTGGGAGAGACACACTGGAAGCACAGCCAGCTTTGACACCGGACCCTATTATGACCATACCAAGGGCTACCGGGGAGCCGGTAAGTGACGTTTATCAGATGACAGGCAGCAACGGATAAACTGAAGATAATCGAAAAGCGTACCAAGGAGAAATTTCGGGGAGAGAGGGGCTCTTCCCAAGTCTCTCTTCCCTTCCCGTCTGACATACTGGGATGTGTTTGTCGATGACTTCTTTCATCCACCCATTTCTCCTACTCGTTTTTCGGTCGCTATCTGAAGGTTATCCCCAAGTATTTTATTCACTACTGTTTGTGTAAACATTGTTATATCTTGACTCCCTGTGTGTGTGCGTGTGTGCGTGCGTGCGTGCGTGCGCGTGCGCGTGCGCGTGTGCGTGTGTCTGAAACAAAACAAAAAAAGAGAAAGAAGAAAAAAAAGTAAAAAAAAAAGAAACAAAAAAGAAAATGTCGCAGCTCTTCTCAAGAAAACGGAATAGAAAAGCGGGACGGAATTGTCACAGATGCCATTTGATTTTTGTTACTTGATATCTCTTAGAAGAGTGTTAAAATTTCTTCATTTTTCAGGTTATTATCTATACATCGAAGCATCGAATCCCCGAGTGCGAGGAGATAAAGCAAGGATTATTAGTCCGCAGTTCATGTGGCAGAATGTGGCCGGGTGTACTGTAAGTTTTATTTGTTAAATTTCTACACATGCAGTGACTGCGTCTTTTGCTTTAGGTTATGACTTGAATATTTTACAGCCGAAGACGCCGACAGGTAAATTGTGTCAGATCTTTGCACAGTTTCGTCAAATCTCTTTGTATATACTCACCACGTCTCACGGTTTTGAATACAACGTATTAAAGAAGTTGAAGGTCGAAAGTGCCACGTCTAGATTGGGTCAACTAGACTGGGATTTTGTACAGCCTTAATTGCCTCAAGCAGATCATTCAATTACAACTAGACACAAAGAAATATTTTAGATGTTTGTCACTAACAAGGGACAAAGACTAGATTTTGGTTTTTTTTTTTTTTTTTTTTTTTGAGGATTCCTTGCTTGTGACAAGACGAAAAAACTCCATCTTTTAATCTCTCTCTTCGAATCGGGAATTTGTTTGTAGTCTTGATTCGTGAAATAGATATTAATCATATTTACTTTGTTTTTGCAGCTTCGCTTCTATTATCACATGAAAGGATTATGGGGCTTTCGTACTTTAGGAACGCTAAGAGTCATTTTGAGGAACACAATCACTGGTGCTGAAACTTCTCCCTTGTGGCACAAATCTGGTAGTCAAGGAAACCAGTGGCTACGTGCAGACGTAGCCATCACAACAAACTGGACAGTATCTCAGGTGAGGCCGATCTTTTTTTTTTTTTTTTCGTTAGTTGTCTCTTAACATGTAGCTAAAGAAAAGAAGCTTTTGTAACTGACGACTGAAACTAACTAGAAAATTACAAAGGAAATATGAAGACAATTTAAGAGCGTTTTTTTAATGGAGAGGAAAGTAAGTTCGAGAGATAATGAGAACTCAAAGTAAAAACAACTTACCTGCCTAGAAGCGCGGGAAAAACTCAGGCGACCAACTCGTAATTAGTTTTAGTTTCAAGTCTAATTGGTCGAGTGAGATTGGTGCGAGTTTTCTGGACCAATCTCAGAGCGAAGTAAGGCAAAACCAATAAAATCTCGCGTTGCTTTCGATCCTCAATTAATGGTCAGTGTAAGAGTTAGTTTAAAATACAACAAAATGAAACAAAGAAAAACCAAAAGTCAAACAGAAATTATAAGAACAGCAACACCAGCCGTACACACAAAACAAAGAGAACAAATGCAACAACAAACAAACAAAACATAACAAAAACACTCGCTTTTATGCACGCACTAATAAAAACGCTCGTAAATATGGAAATGTTATAGGATCATGTCACGAATAGGCCTTGGACGTCATTTTGTCACCAGTTAATAGGTCTTGCTTGTAGTATTGATTGTCTCGTGATTTACCGGTTTTGCACCATTAATGAGCGTTTTCCATTTCGCGTCGATGAGGCAATAAAATCATTCAATTAGTAAAAGAGTGTCGAGTTTTTAAAAAGTGTCAGATTGTGTTTCTCGACAACGCGAGTTGTTTCTTGGATAAGAATACCTTGAGATTCCATACACCTTCTAAATGAAGTCAGCTAACTCACAATTAAACTTCAGGTTATCATTGAAGCTGAAAGAGGCTCAACATTCCATGGTGACATCGCCGTCGATGATATATCCTTCTCGTCCCAGTGCTACCCGTCCGAAGGTAAGAAACAGTCTATAAGCACTGGACCGGTCACTTATCTCCCGGTTGTGACTCCATAACGAATGGTTCCCTTTTAAGGAATTACCGGTCAGTGCATTGCATATCGTTTGTCAAACAGAAAGCTTTATATTAGGGCTTTGGCTGGTTTTTTACCAATTCTTAACAATATACCGACGTCCTATTATTGAAGAACATTCTTCTCGCGCAAATCGATAAATGCTATCGGCCTCTGAATCAATTTTAGTATCTGAGCAATTACGCACCCACCCCTCCCTTAAACCAGCACAACAATTAACTGATAACAAGCTAGGTGTCGTGTTGAGTTAAAGGGAGGGGTAGGTGCGCAGTTGGCCAGATATTGAGATTGATCCCGATTTCTCTGAGAAAACCAGAGATACTTGGTAAGACCACAAATTTCTTTACTTGAACATCTCAAAAGACACCACATTAGGACGTAAAAAAGGACACTGAATCTCCTGTGCGGAATCAAAGCGCGAGGAATAACACGTAGCATTTTCCATCTTTCTTTTACTTTAGCCGTACACATCTACAAGAACTACGACGTTCGTCTAACAGATGGGAAGAAAGGGTCGTTTGAGGGACGCGTAGAGATATACCGTGTAGGTACCTGGGGCACAATCTGTGAAGACGGCTGGGGCCAAAAGGATGCCGGAGTCGTTTGCAAGCAACTGGGTTACGGAGGAGTTAAAAGCGTCCATGCAGGCTCGTATTTTGGTGAAGGAAGGGGTCCTATTTGGTTGGATGATCTCGCTTGTTATGGAAACGAGACAAGCCTCGGACACTGCTCTCATAACGGCTGGGGGAGTCACGACTGTTCTCACTCACAAGACGCTGGTGTTGTCTGCGATATAGGTAACAGAGGCCACAGAAAATGGCATTAAGCAATGAACTGAAATCCTTCCTTACCCCCACCCCCTCCTTTTTTTTTCCTTTGCTATTGCCCGATCTCTGATATAGGTAACAGAGGCCACAGAAAATGGCATTAAGCAATGAACTGAAATCCTTCCTTACCCCCACCCCCTCCTTTTTTTTTCCTTTGCTATTGCCCGATCTCTGATATAGGTAACAGAGGCCACAGAAAATGGCATTAAGCAATGAACTGAAATCCTTCCTTACCCCCACCCCCTCCTTTTTTTTTCCTTTGCTATTGCCCGATCTCTGATATAGGTAACAGAGGCCACAGAAAATGGCANCAATCTGTGAAGACGGCTGGGGCCAAAAGGATGCCGGAGTCGTTTGCAAGCAACTGGGTTACGGAGGAGTTAAAAGCGTCCATGCAGGCTCGTATTTTGGTGAAGGAAGGGGTCCTATTTGGTTGGATGATCTCGCTTGTTATGGAAACGAGACAAGCCTCGGACACTGCTCTCATAACGGCTGGGGGAGTCACGACTGTTCTCACTCACAAGACGCTGGTGTTGTCTGCGATATAGGTAACAGAGGCCACAGAAAATGGCATTAAGCAATGAACTGAAATCCTTCCTTACCCCCACCCCCTCCTTTTTTTTTCCTTTGCTATTGCCCGATCTCTGATATCTTCAGTAGGACGTTTTAGACTGGAAGCTGTTTCTTTGTCTCGAATTTGGCTCACTTGGTCGGGCTCGCTGTAATGAAAAACTCATCAGACACCTATCAAAGATCCTTCTTCCTCGCTACTTTGAAACGTTTTGGCTGTTTTGGTAAAGTGTACACTAAATTCATTTGAAACAGTATTGTGTTGGAAATTGAGAACGAACCTCTTTAAAGTTCTTCTATCATTCTCTGAAAAACAGTGCCGACTTTGCGCGCGAAACTTCTCGATTTCTTCATATGAATTTTCACACGACCAAACGGACACATGCAAAAATTCAAAAAAAGTGCGACATCTGAACAACTCGTTTACAAGGAAACGGAGAAAGAGTTAAGGAATTATAAAGTTCATGCTCATATTGTTGTTGTTGTTGTTGTTGTTGTTGTTGTTTTTAAACCTTTGTTCTTACTCTTCTCATTTCAACATCTAGACGGCGGTAGTACAACAAAGGCATTAAGGCTTAAGACCAATAACAGTACTAACAGCGGACTAGTAGAAATATACCACGGTGGCTCATGGGAACCCATTTGTTATGATGGCTGGGATATCCATGATGCCTTTGTGGCGTGTCGACAGCTCGGTTTTCCTGGGGCCAAAAGCATAACTCGTGAAACTGCGGTAGGCGTCACTCGCTCACTGAAAAAGGTGCAATGTCAAGGAGGTGAAGACACTTTGGGAGAATGTGTTCATAACGGATGGAGCCAGGGAAATTGTAACTATGGATTTGCTGGCGTGATATGTTCTGGTAAGTTGCTGGAAAATAATCTCTTCGTACGAGTATAGCTGCCGGGGCTAATCAGGGTTTCTGCAGCATGAAGCAAGGTACAATGTTTTTTACTCCCCTGGATCGCAGATTACCGTTCAGTATTTTGTCAAGTTCCCTTGACTGGAACTTACTATGTTTTTAATGAAACTCCTCTTTCCTTATGTATTGAATTTTCTCACTAGATTCAAATAAAATCGGAGGCAGTACAAAATAGTTTGATGTGTTGAAACACAAAACATAAATCGTCTGACCTGTCACCTTTGTTTATTGTAGTGGAGGGAACAGCCGAAGGAAATATCCGACTCAGAGGCGGCAGCTCTGAGAGGGAGGGTCGCGTGGAGGTATTTCACCGTGGAGAATGGGGCACAGTTTGTGATGACGCCTGGACAGAAGCAAATGCGCGAGTCGTCTGCTATGAGCTTGGTTTCACAAGCGTGAGAAAGGTACATCAGAGTTTTGGTCCCGGTAGTGGACGCGTGTGGCTGGACAGGGTCAGTTGCCATGGAAACGAGACTGCTCTCGTTAAGTGTGGTAATTCGGGATGGGGAGCCACTTCTTGCACGCATTCAGAAGATATTGGTGTTATCTGCTCAGGTGTGTTGAATGATTTATGAACTGGCCTTTTTCTACAATGATAGAATCGTGCGGGATAAAATACCTTAAGAATGTATTTTCCTCAGTCAAATGGCAAACTCTGCACGGACTTAAGTGTCACTTGATATTTTTTAAGTTCAGTCTTACTTTAATTTTCCATCTATCTGTGTAACGTAACAAGATAAACAAGTTGAAAATTTTACTTTCCTTTCGAAGTTAATTTTCTTTTGCGAGTGAACAGAAAATCGCAAAAAAAGTTCCCAGCACGAATTTTCAACGCTTAAAATTGTTAAATCCTCGAAAAAAGATTTTCGCGAAATCTACATGAGAAGGAATAGCTTCGGGCGTCAAGTTAGCATTCGTGATAAGTAGGACATCTTACTGCTGTCGAAACTTCTGTGCATAAATTAAAAACTTCTGGGCATAAATTAAAAACTTCTGTGCATAAATTTTAGGTCTAGAACGAATGCGTGGCGCTGAACTGCTTTCAAGAGTCTGGGTTGTCTGCCAAGTCACCTATAGTATCTGCTTAATTATACGTGCAAACAGAAAGTTTTATGGAAGTCACATAGGTACTTGAATTGCGCTTTCTTCAAGAAGAGAATTGATTTGATATTTTGATGTTCACTTTTGTGTAAATCTTGAGCTACACATTATATATTACGAAAACGCTTTCACATATTTGGTTTCCAACGTATATCTTTACTTAACCTGATTTTCTCACATGTTAATAAGGTGAAATTTTCGTTGCATTTTTAGATGACGCCTATATTGGTTGCTACAAAGATACACAGAATCATGTTATGACCCATGAACTTACATCATCAGGTAAACCTCGATAAAATTCTTAAAGATGATAAAATTCTTATAGATACGTTCGATACAGGGTTGAATGTACTAATTTTTCTTGGTTTATCAGGACATTAAATACTTTACTAAATGACGTTTTTTCTCAACCAAGATATGACCCCTGTGAAGTGCATACGTCGATGTCAAAGTAAGGGTTTCATGTACGCAGGCTTGGAGTGGGCCAATGAATGTTACTGTGGAAATCACGTGAGTAGTTTACATTCTCGTGGAGAGAGTTACAATCAATGTCGTAAAATCCAACCAGTCAGAGCGAAGGAAAATAATACCAACCAATGACGACTCAGATTAAAACAAACAAGCTAAGCTTAAGGGAAAGTGCGTGGAACCAAGTCGCGCTATGCGTCATTTTTGCATTTGAATAGGTTGACATGTCGGCGAGGGTTTGTCAGTAAAACAAAAAAAAATCCAAAGCAGTCCTGGATGACTTTTGAAACTCAATTGAAGGTTACGATGTTACGTGGAAAGTTGCATCGTTTCTTTGATACTGATGCCAAAAGCCACCAAAATATCAAACTGTCGGATATTTGCTGTGGTGGTCAAAAAGTGCAAGAGTGTAAGATTTATTTTCTGTTTAACTTGAAAGAAAAAAATCGTGTTATCAGTTCAACAGATACGGAAATTCTACTTCATGCCAATTGCCATGTCTTGGTGACGCCAGTAAAGTGTGTGGAGGGACATGGGCACTATCTGTTTATAATACAGGTAAAAAGATTTTTGTCAGTTGGTTGTTTCATCTTGAGGTGAAATGCCTCAGACCTTTGTATCTGTCCGCAGTCTGTGAAAAGAAAACTTTAAATTTCACGCTAATAAGATCGTTGGAGGGATTTCTTTTTAAGAGAGGAGCTTTTCCTACGAAACGTAACATGCATCGTGGTATGAAAAAGAGTATTTTAAATTTTTAAGATATTTGTAAGCCGTCTGATATTACTGAGACGATCGAACGGGCAGGTATCGCGTTCTTAGCGTTGTGTTCAACCGAGACACGAAGAGTATACAAATCGATGGTTTACTTTCCTTCAGTGTCGAATGGTGAAACTACATGTAAATAAAATACAGAAAACGGTGAAACGAAAACAGAAAACAGAAAATACGACAAGGCAAAAACAATAAAATAACGGAACGATGAAAACTTACATGGATGGTGCTGCGATGAAAGATGAACTGAGAAACTGAGGCGATAAATTAAGGTGAAACCTACCGAAACTAAAAAACGCAACACACGAGCTGTGAACCGAACGGGCCTGGGAAATAAAACTGACCGAGAGGGTCCCAGGGCCCACTGACAAAAAAGGCGGCAAAACCCGTAACAGCAGGTGCGAGTCTCGGTGGAAATTAAAATAACTTGCTTGTAATCAAAATCATCACCAATACTGTTCTTATGATGATGATGACAATGATTATTTTTTTACATTATTTGTTTATTTTCCGAACTTTTCATTTCCTATTAGATCCTGCGATAGTACCAACCCAAGTTCCAGGTTACAACCCTGTCACACAGAGTAATTATTGCTTTCTTTTCATTATCCCAACGTTAGAGTTGTTCTGTATCTTTGTATGCCTTACTTGAAACGTTTTCCTTTTTTTTCTCATCTTGTAAAATTGCTTATCGCATATGATAGTTTTGTATCAAGCCGTTTTTGATGTGATTGTTTTTTTCGCTTCGTTGTCACTGTCAGTTGGGTTTTTGTCTGATCATTTGACCGACCGACCGACCGACCGACCGGCCGGCCGACCGGCCGACCGACCGACCGACCGACCGACCGACCGACCGACCGACCGACCGACCGACCGGCAAATTTAAGGACTGTCGGACGGACTTAAGGACAAGCGACCTAACCGGCTGACTACCTGACTCATTGAAAGTCGCATGGGTTGTTTCATTCACTGACCGTCGACTCAGACATATTTGTCCACCTTTAAACAGATCCTTTGAAAGTAATGAAATGATTATGATTTGCATATTGATCTTTTAGGCTGTACAACACGTATTTTTGATCCATGGCGAATTCAAATTCCTAATCAGTTTTACGCTGGAGATCACAGCAAAGGTTGGATATCGTCGCCAGCCTTCCCGAACAATTACCTCCATGACACTGTTTGCATCTGGGTTCTCAACTTATACTCTGGCACAAGAGCAAAGGTCACTTTTAAGTATTTTCAAACAGGTGAGTTCATATGCGAAAAAAAAGGTTTTTCAAGAACATTAGTTTCTTCAAAAAGTTCTGCCACCGTATTTATTAAAAACCTTCCTCCAAAAACATTTGCTTGCAATTAAGTTCCATCAAAGGAAAATATCGGGAAAACAGTGTCATTTAAATTCGACATTGGCGATAATTCCATAGTAAGCGATGAAATGAAATATAATAAATCTGCGCATTTATTCTGTGTATCTATTTTTCCTTTTTTAGAACGATATTACGACTATGTTGAAATAAGGGACGGCGACAAAGACTATTCAGAACCCTTCCTTACCCCGGTAGGGGGATTCACCGGAAACGTTACCAACTCAGTGACTGCCTCTGGCAATGTGATGTGGATTAAGTTTTACACCGATTCTTCTGTAAACTACAAAGGTTTCAACCTTACCTACGAAGCTGTTGGTAAGTAAGCTCGTGTATCCGAATAATTAATATTAGTATATACTAAAACAGTGGATAGCGTTGAAGGCGTACTCTGATTGGCTAGTCAAACTCCGAATATCCTTCGCTATTTACCTCCAAGCAACTCGAGAAAAAATGGCGTCCCGGTTTGCATCCGTGACAAGC